GTCCACCTGTGAGGGAGCGACTGTGGCATCAGGGCTCGGCAAGCAGCGAACCAGCCAGGCTGCTGGACCTAGCGGCTGGGGCTCCCAGAGCCAAAGGCACCAACCTGCGCTCTGGAGGCCAGGAGAGGCCCCTGGTGTCATCTGTGAGTGCCAGGCCTGGAAGAGCAGCAGGAACAGGTACGGGGGCCGGGAGACGGACATTGCTGCCCATTCATGGGGTGAGCGGAGCTGCACCTACCAGGACAGGACAGCGCCCGTGCGGCTGGAGAGCCCCCTGCGGACCTGAAGCCAGAGGGACTCAGAGAGGCTCCCACAGACCTGAGGGACGGAGTGTGACGGAGGGCTCAGTGCCCGGCTTCCAGCACCTGCCACGGACCCACTGCTTCCTAAGAGAGCATGGGCTGCCTGCAAGTGGGGGACTCCCTGCTCTCCAGTGTCAGCCCCTGCTCGAATCCAAAACACGGGGCCCTAGTGGGCACCGGAGCAGCAGCCTGAGGTTCAGCAACCCAAAGCCAAAGCGGGTAGAGAAGACCAGGTGGGCAGCTTTCCTGCCCAGGGACACCCGGGCACAGCCAGGCACCACAGGCACCACAGTAGTGATGCACGGCTGGGAGGGCAGGAGCCAGGGAAGCTGCCTGCCTGCTCTGGTGCCAGTGCTGTGCACAGACACGGTACCATCCAGGCATCAGAGAAGGCCCAGTGCCTGCGGCCTGCAGCCCACTCAAGACCACCGTGCTGGGAGGAGTCCAGACAGCTCTTGCAGAAAAAGCCAGTGCTGCCCATGCTGCCCATGCCTCTGCCCTGTGACCTGTGAGCCTGGGGACCTTCCACATTCCCTCAGCTGTGGAGTGGCTCACATGAGCTGGGCTGCAAGCTGGCCACTGCTAGAGGCCCACACCTGTCCTGCTGCTGCCACCTGAAATGCCCACTGCAGACAGCACCACGCTGACCTATGAGCAGCTGAGCACCGCAGGCCTGGAAGAGCTGCAGGTGACACGCAGTGAGTGCACAGCACACCTGAAGGAGGACAGGAGACACTCAGTCCCCTGGGAGCATGGGCCTGGCACTGCCGTAAAGTTCTGGGGAGTCTGGTGGGCAGGAAGACACAAATGACACCTGGGAAGGTCATCCAGAAGCTGTCACAGCCACCTGTGCCAACGGACATGACTGCAGCACCCTTGGGACTTGGGGTCCAGACACATTGCCATGCCCCACGTTGTTCACACAGCTGGATAAAGGGGGGGGGGACCACGTGGGCCGGGACAAAGTGGCTCAGGAGGCCAAGGCTCAGCTGTGTGCCCCAGCACACTATGCCCATTTGTTCCAGAGGTTACCTGGAACCCAAGGGCTACCGCTGGGGGCACTGCAGAGACCACCTGGAGGGAAGCTCCCTGGCTCTGCCCTGCTGCAGGGGGACCCATCGCCAATCCACTATCTGTGCCACAGAAAACAGTGCATTCAGCAAAGAGCTGGCTGGAGGTCTCTGCCACCTATTGAGGGTACATAAGTGGCACAGGCACCCACACCAACGTGTGTCCTGCTGCCCCTGCAACAGATGCCACGCACATACACCCTGAGCCGGTGTCCTTCCAAACCACTGAGCCAGTGATGAACACACCTTGGAGGGGATGCACATCCCCGGAGGTGCTGGCATGCCTGGGGCACTCGTCAGGCACAGGCAGGAGTGGATGGCAGTGCCAACGCAGGCACAGATGGGCACAGTGGGAGGTGAAGCCTCAGGCAGTGGGGGCACCAGGGATTCCTGCCATGTGGGCAGCAGGGACTAAGGGCACGGGCCTGTGCTCGGTGGGCACGATGTGGAAGGGGAGTTGTTGGGAAACAACATGGGCCAGAGGTACCCGAGTCTGCTCGGTCCCCGGATAAGCTGGAGGCCAGTGTACTCACAGGCCCGCCAGCAGCTTGTGTCCCGCACCCAAGGGAGCTGTCCGCCCACTGAGCACATGAAGGCTGGGAACAGAGGGCGGCAGGGGCCAGTGCACAGCAACGGCTGTGTCTGGGTCACCTTCCTGCTGCTGGGACATGCCCCCAAAACCCACACCAAGGAGGTTTACCATGCCCCTGGTTCAGGGCTTGGAGTCCACGCACAGTCACCAGTCTCAAGAGTAACAGCCTAGCGGAAGAAAGCACACTGCCAGGTTGCCCAGGGATGACTGCTTCCTGCCAGAGCCCTCTGGACAGCCATCAGCTGTAAATGCACCAGGATGAATCCACTGATGAACATGGCGCAGCACACCAAGATCCAGCCTCCCTCCAAAGCCCCACTTTGGGGCTGCAATTCCGGGGACACTCCAGATCTGAACCACTACAGGCCACAAGCACCCTGTGTTCTGTCCACATGCTGTCCAGGCTCGCGCGGCCTGGTGGCTTCGTGCACCACGGGCAGGTGTGTGCCAACGGCCCCTCAGGACTGGCAGGTGACAGCTGGGCCGTGCCCATGAGGGCTGCAACCTACGCTTACCTGTGAGTCACCCTGGAAACAGATCACGGGAAGCCAGCCTTGGAGGACCAATCAGCTCAGCGTGAGGCCTGGGTGCCTCGGAGAACTGTCTGACAGCCCTTCCTTGCAGCCCCAGCAGGGCTGGTTTGAGTTAAAACCACAGTTACAAGGCTAGAGTGAAGGCACCTGCAGAGTGGGAGCCCCAAGCTGGAGAATGAGAACCCCATTGCAGGGTGGGTACCCTCTCTGAGACCCTTCCACCCAGGCCTCAGCCTCTGCAGCGTGGCAGAGCCAGACAGTGAGTCCCTGCTGTGGAAGACCACCCCAGAGCTGCAGGGCACAGACAGACCCAGCAGATGCAGGGCTGGGTGCCTCCTTCCCATGGCTGGCATCTGTAATGCAGGAGGGCAACTCGACGGTGGCGGGGGAAGTGTCACCAATGGTCTCGCCTGCGATGGCCTTGTGTGTGCCAGGCCGGATGTGCCCACTGGGGCAGTGCTGGCACAGCTGCTCTCAGTAAACCAGCTGCTCTCCCTGGGCCCCAAATTTGAGAATGAAAGCCAGGACACAGTCCCAGCAGGAAGCCCCAGTTAGCTTATGGGACCCAAGGTGCCATCGGATCAACTGCCCACACAGGTGCCTTCCCCTGCAGTTGTGCCCAGCCCATAGGGCAGTGACTGTGACAGCCCACTGGTGTGTGACCTCCCCCACCCTGGAACATCTACCCCTGCCCCCCACAACAGAGTGCCTTCACGAGCCCCCTGGAGCCCAGAGGACACAGTCCTGATCAGATGCACACCCTGGCAGGCCCATTCCCGCAAAGTCAGAACAAAAGCAGAAAGTGGCAGGCAAGCCCTGCCCCAGCGGGTCCTGAGGTGCAGCACTGCACTTGGACACTTGCACGCGTGTGCCGGCGGGTCCTGAGAGGAATAGGCGACAGGGGCGCCCCTCCAGCAGCACATGCATGTGCCACACAGCTGTGAGCACACCACGCTGGAGAGGGACGAGGCAGGCCGGGGCGCAAGGTGTCCACCACCCACACAGGGTGTCCAGCTCCCCTGGCACAGGGCTCACACGTGTCACACTTGCCGTACACTGGACTGGCAGACACACACGGGGCTGGCTTCTGCCTGGCCGCATGAATGACTCTTGCCTGATAGTCCCAGAGATCTACCAGCGTCAAGGGCCCACCTGGGAGTTCAGAGGGACAGCCCGTGATCACGTCCACGCGCCGGGCAGGCACAACAGATGCCTTCGCTGAAGTTCAAGCTCTCACTGCCGGCTTTACAGCAGTGATTGCGCAGCACACAAGGCTCCGCCAGGAAAGAGCGCAGGCGCCAGAGAACAGCACGGCGAGACAGCCTTGGGGCGGAGCTGCACCCACGCCCATACCACCCTGTGCCCACTTATCTCAGAGCGCCTGGCTGACTGGCAGGGCCAGCGAGGCGCCTTTGCACATCACAGGACTCCTTTCATGGGGCTGGTGTCATCCAGGGGTAACAGTCTGGGCTCAGGGACCCCCCGAGCAAGGCAAAAAGAGGGGCCGCAAGAAGGGACAGCGGATGATGGGGCCGGGTGCAGGGTGAAAACTCTCCGCCGAACCCAGCCAAAGAGCCTGGTCCTGCAGTGCCCGCCCTCCCCACACACTGCCTGGCACCAGGCGGTGTGCCCAGCTGCAGCACGGCAGCAGCGCTCAGCACTTTGTCCGGAGTTGGGGGGCTTCCGGGAAAGGGCAACTGGAAATGGAGCGCGCATGGTTCCCGGGGACCTCCTCACTTCCAGGAGCCTGGCCTGGGAGTGGGCAGCCTGATGGCACTGCAGCTCCTGATCACTCACTACTGTGTGAGAGGCCGTGATCGCCTCAGCCACGCACCAAGCTGGACTTGTACGAGACGTTCCACTTCTTCTGTCTGAGAAATTTATGCAACACCCCCTCCACAGCATCCTTTGAAAAGACATGAATAAGTGATACAAAGGAATAGTACTTAGCCCTAAAAAGGAAATAAGTGTTACATGGGCTTGAAAACAGGTGGGGCTTGAGGACACTGCGCCAGGATGGGCCCGTCAAAAAGGTAGGCGCCAGGGGCTGGGGATTTAGCTCAGTGGCGTACGCGCCCGCCTGGCAAACGCAAGGTCGTGAGTTTAGATCCCCGGTACCTCCCCCCCCCCCAAAAAAAACCAACTCTAAAGGAATGCACAAGGGACGGACGGGACGGAGGGGCCGGCTCCCCAAGTGGGTCCCCGCAGCGCAGGTGAATCGGCAGCTGCCGAGGCCGCAAAACCTTCCAGTCACGGCCTGTGTGAACGCGGAGGAAGCCGGGCCTGGCGCCTGCCCCGCGCTCCTCCTGCACCACCTGGGAGCCCGGGGAGCCGAGCCCCGCAGAGCTGCACCCGAGCACCCGCCGGCCCAAAATCCAAGTCCCGCCCCCACCTGGCAAAGCTCACCCCCAATCCAAGGTCCCGCCCCCGCTGGCAAAGCCCCGCCTCTAACTTCAAATCCCGCCCCCATTCGTCAAGGCAACCACCCGCGCCGGCCCGCCCCCTGCCGCGGTCGCCGGGCGATGGAGTGCGAGGCGCGGGTGCTGCGCGCGGCGGGCGGCTTCGGCCGGGCCAGGCGCCTGCTGGCCGTCGCGTCGTGGCTGCCGTGCGTGGCGCTCGGGCTGGCGCTGAGCTCCGACTCGCTGCTTACGGCGCGGCCCGCGCACCACTGCCGGCCGGACCCCACGCTGCTGCCCCCTGCGCTGCGCGCCCTGAGCGGGCCCGCGCTCCTCGAGGCCAGCGTCCCGCGCCAGGGCCCCACGGGAGTGCCCAGCCCCTGCCTGCTGCTGCGCTACCCCGCGGCCCCCACGCTCTCCGCGGTCCCCGCGCCCGACGGCACGCGGCCATGCACGCGCGGATGGCTCTACGCACTGCCCGTCGCCGGCCTTTGGCGCAGCCCGGTCACCCAGGTGGGAGCGAGGTCACCGGGCGCGGGGCGATGGTCCCTACTGGGCCAGACGGTGCCCCTCTTCCGGGAGGTTCCGGGGCGGTGGGTTCGGGCTGGAGGCGAGGGTGCCGCCTGACCTTCGCTCCAGCGCCCGCCCGCGCTGGCCAAGAGCGGGTCACCTGCTGTCGCCTCCAACCCTGGAACCGGCCCGGCGCCTCCCGAGTGCCCCACTGCGCCGGTCCCGCGGCTTTCACAATGGGGTTTGCAATGGACACTTAAGGTGCTCCGACGTGGGTGGGAAAGGAGAGGCCCGGTGAAGGGCCGCTGCGGAGCAGGAAGTCCTCTGGCGCAGCTCTCTAGGCAGTGGGAGGGGCGGTGACCTAGAGGGACCCGGCCCTGTGAGGTCCTGTCATGAGCAGAACCCTTGGCCAGGTGGGTGGGGGGCGGCACGTAGGCAGGAGGGACAAGGTCAGTTGGGGCGTGGATGCGGTGAGGCAGGACCTGCAGGGCAGGAGGGGCCTCACCGGAAGTAGGACTACACAGGATGCCTGGGAGACCCCAAGTCGGTATGACCCAGGAGCTCAGCGGGGAGTGCCCAAGCCTGTGAAACCCACCAGGCTCAGGTGCCCACCACTGTTCACTCCAGCAAGAGTTCTGAGGCCCCTGCATCTCCGGGTCTGTGGGGCAAGGAGATGAGGGCTGGTTTCAGGAGACCTGGTCTCAGGTGGCAGGTGTCCCCGCAGTGGAACCTCGTGTGTGGGGACGGCTGGAAAGTCCCATTGCAGCGCACAGGCCACCTCCTGGGCTGGCTGCTGGGGTCTGTGCTCCTGGGTGCAGGCTGTGACCGGTGAGCTGCCCTTCCTGTCCTCCCAGCCTCCTTCCTCCAGGCACCATTTGTGGCCCCCAGTTATCTGTGTCCCTGCTATCCACCAGGTTTGGGCGCCGAGCTGTTTTTGTGGCCTCTTTGGTCCTGGCCTCTGTTCTAGGGGCTGGCGAGGCCCTAGCTGCTGGTTTCCCTGTCCTGCTGGCCCTGAGGCTGCTCCAAGGAGGTGCCTTGGCAGGGGCTTTCCTGGCCCTCTACGTGGCACGTAAGTCACACAGGGTCCACCATTGACCAGTCACAATGGTGGTGGTGAACATCTGGCCACTATGAGCTCTTGGATCAGGCCGTCCCTTCTGCCCCAGGCTTGGAGCTGTGTGACCCCGAGCACCGCCTGGCCTTCTCCTTGGGCGCCAGCTTATGCTGTGTGCTGGGTGTGCTGCTGCTACCCGGGCTGGCTGTACTGGCACAGGACTGGCATCTTCTGCAGGGGCTGAGTGCCCTGGTGACTGGGCTCCTACTGCTCTTTTGGGGGTAAGTATTATGGGAGCCGGGCTGGGGGAAAGTGTGCACCTCTATTCTTAGCTGGCCTGTGGCCCAGGAAAGGATCACAGTCATGCCATTGTGCCCTACCCCCCTGGGTCAGGGAGGGTGCTGGCCTCTGCTGATCCCTGGGGAGGAGGTGGACGCAGCCACAGCACCCTCACCAATGCCACAGATTCCCAGCTCTGCTCCCTGAGTCTCCCTGCTGGCTGCTGGCCACACGGCAGGTGGCCCGGGCCAGGAGGATCCTGTGGCACTTTGCAGAAGCCAGTGGTGTGGACCCTGAGCACAGTTCCTTGGAGGACAGCTCCCTGGCTACAGGTGAGACACATGCTTGTGGCAGGAAGGTGGGCCTGGAGAGGTGCTGTCATGCATGCCCCTGTCTCCCTGCCACAGAGCTGGCCGAGCTGGCCACAGGCAGCATCCAGCCTCAGTACCACTCGGGCCTGGGCCTCCTGCATACTCGCCTCGCCTGGAGAAACGTGCTCATCCTGGGCATCAGCTCGTGAGGAGGGCCGGGCAGGGGCTAGGGTCTGCCACATGGGGTGGGGACATTTGTCCCCGATTCCCACAGCCACAGCCGCACCCACAGCAAGGCCTCTCTTCCAGGCTGGTTGGCGGGGGCATTCAAGCCAGCTTTCTGCGCAGCCTGGCCCCGCTTGAGACGGCCTTCTACCTGCCCTATTTCCTGGAGGCCGGCCTGGAAGCTGCTGCCATCACCTGCCTGCTGCTGACTGCCAATCGCTGGGGTCGCCGCCTTGTCCTGCTGCTGGGGACCCTGGTCACAGGCCTGGTGTCCTTGCTGCTGCTTGCTGGGGCTCAGTGTGAGTTTGGGGCTCTGTAGGCCACACGGGGTGGGAGTCACTGTTTGGGTTGAGGGTCTAGAATCAGGCCTCTGCCCGTGCTGTGAGGCTAGTGAGATGAGGGCGCTGGACAGGTCTGCTGTTTTCTGTTCTCTCAGGTACATTTGGGGAGACCAGGGCCGAGAATTAAGGGACCAAGGATTTTCCAGGACAGGCTGAACACAAAGAGCCCACCTGGGTCCATATTAAAACAGCTGCTCCAGCCATAGGGGACAGTGCAGACTAGGGCACTGTGGGTAAGAAACAGTGTCTAGAAACAGTCAGAATTTTAAAAAGCTGGGCATGCTTGGCCCACCCTTCCATTCCTGGAACTCTGGGAGGCTGAGGCAGAACAGCAAAGTTGAGCTCACACTGGGCACTTTGGTGAGACCTTGTCTCAAAATAAAAAAGGGGCTGTAGCTCTCTGTGAAGGCCCTGGGCTAATCCCCAGTGCCACCAGAAATACGAAACTTTGGGACTGTTCTCAAAATTATAAAAGTAAGACAACAGGAAATGAGCTTCCAGCCTGGAGTTTGCTGTCACTGCACTATGCCCAGGCAGGAAGAAACTTGGCTGGCATGGGCTGCAAGGCAGGGAGGGATAAGCCCCTGAGACACCTGTGCCAACGCAGCAGGAGGCTGACCTAGCCCCCTGTGCTTTATGCCAGACCTGCCAGGCTGGGCCTTGCTGCCCCTCTCTATGCTGGGCCTCCTGGCCTCCCAGACCATGTCGGTGCTCAGCAGCCTCTTCGCGGCCGAGGTCTGCCCGACGGTGATCAGGTGAGCGTGCATGCCCAGCACTTCGGGAGAGGGGTGGACAGTGGCCGTGTCCTGACATCACCTACCTGCACCCCTGTGACCTGTCTTGTTGGATGAGGGGGTACACATCCTGGGTGGTAGAACACAGGGAAGTGACTTTCTGGGTTCCTAATAGCAGAACCCACTCCTCCAGGGTTTCCTGGGGCCCTTTTCTGGCCCAGGTCCCACCAGCTGCACTCCCTTTTCTGCAGGGGCACCGGGCTGGGCCTTGTGCTGGGTGCCGGGTTCCTGGGCCGGGCAGCTGCGCCCCTCACGGAGATGGTAGACCAGCAGGGCTTCTTCCTGCAGCACACGGTGCTCACCTCCCTGGCTATCCTGGCCCTGCTCTGCATCCTGCTGCTGCCCGAGACCTGCGGTCGGGCACTGCCTGTGTCACTGGAGGACGCTGATCATCTGCACCGAGCCCCTCTCCTGCGTGCCCATCAGCCCCCGGACTACCTGCCTCTTCTGCTGCCCTCCCACTGAGGGCAACTGCACATCCCCACTACTGGGCAGCCCGAGTCCAGCTGGGGCTCACTGAGCCCTGAAATGTCTGGCCTGGGGTCACCACCGGAGGCAGCCCCCCATCCATGGTCATTGTGGGCTAGGCAGTGTGGGGGCAGCACCAGGTCCCCAGCTAGGGCCTTCCCCCTGGCCATTTCTCCTGGGCCACCCTGGCAGGGTGTGTAAGATAAAGGCAGCCCTAGAATCTGGTCTCCTCCCTGGGGCTTTTTTGGCATTGCCTGACAGGCCCTGTGCTATGCCCCCCACGCTGGACCTGGAGCAGGCCTCCAGCTCCTGACAGGTGCTTGCCTAGCCAAACCTTACGCCCTGCCTGGTCAGTGTGACATTCACAGCACATCAAGTGAACAGCTCGTTTTTGTTTTTGTTTTTGTTTTTAAATCAGATTCACACTTGGGGCCCCTGGTGTCATGCAGAAGCGCATCCACCAGGGGGCAGCAAAGGCGGGCGCCTCCTGCACAGCCGGCTCTCGCTTGTCCCACACAGCTGCCCCGACTGGCTGCCACCTACGCCTGGCTTTTCCGTCCTGGCAGCCAGGACGCTGCCAGGTAGCTGCGTCCAGATAGCACCTCTCACGGCCCGCCCAGCCCCAGCCTCACGGGTGTCCGTACATGTCCGCCAGCCTGGCGAAGCGTGGACCCCAGTCCTGAAGGTAGTCGTAGTCCTGGTCCTCGTCTCCCAGGCTGGACACGGGCGAGCTCAGTGTCCCTGCCACGGAGCCATCCCCCTCGTAGTCATAGATGAGAGCCGTGTCGTAGGGCGGCACGCTGGGGTCGCTGTCCGCAGCCTGCAGGCCCTGTAGGCCCCAGCCATGATCAGCGCCCACTGGCCCAAGGCCCGCCTGGGCAGCACTAGGGGACGCTGTCCTCTAGGCAGCCGGCGACCCTGGGCACAGCCTGGGTGTGGTTGGGGCAGGAGCCAGAACTTGGCTTCTGGACGGGACCTACGCCTACCCGGGGCCTGTGGCTGCGGGGTACAGGCGGTGGCAGGGTGCGGACCGACCCTGCGGGATGTGCCCACGATCCAGACTCTGGACGTCTGGCCGAGGGCCGCTCCCGCTCCCACAACCTACACCGCACTCCACGCTCGACACACACAGGGTTAGTGGGGCTCCACGCGACAGGCCCTGCACATCCGGGGCGTCCCACGGGGGTCCCCACCTCCTACCCCGCCTGACCGACCCAGGGGACCCGGAGCCCCGACGTGCGCACGCGCGCCTCGGCAGGCTCAGGAGCACCTACGTCGCGGATGAAGCTGGCGATGTCTGCGGGGCTGGCGGGTAGCGCGCGAGGCGCCTGGGGGCGCCCGCGGCTCAGGGGGGCCTCGCGGCGCAGGAGCGGCCGGCCGGGGGGGAAGCTCAGCACCGCCAGCTCCGAGGGGTGGCGCAGCTGGTTTAAATCGTAGGCGTCCTGCGGGCAAAGGGCACACGGGCGGCCCAGGGGTCCGTGGGGCTCCCTGTCCCAGCCGGCTTGGGGATCCCCGCCTGGGCCCCGCCGCTCCCCTCTTCCCGCCCTCCCTCACCTGGTCCTCCTCCCCGCCGCCCTGCTCGTTGTAGCAGAGGATGTTGTCCCGAAGGTCGTCGTCCTGCAGACCTCGCAACAGACTCTTGTCCCGCGACGGCTGCCGGAACCGCGCTCTGAGCAGCACGAGTAGAACCAGCACTGGGGGGGGGCACAGGTGAGGGGGGCGGTGGGGCGGGGCTCCACGGGCGCGGTGGGTGGGGGTCTCTGTGGGGCGGAGCCCAGGGCGGAGACTTCGAGCGGGGGAGGTGCCGCGCGACGGGAGGCTGGGGTGGCCCGGCCTCGTTTGGGGCGCGGCCTCCGCGGGGAGGGGCCGAGGGGCGGGGCGGGGCTCCCGTGGGCGGGGACACTCACGCAGCAGCGCCGCCGCGCTCCCCAGCACCAGCGCTAGCGCGCCCAGACCGACGCCGGCGCCCCCCGCCCTGAGCGCCGCGGTCCCAGGCAGGCAGGCCCCGCTGGCTCCGCAGCGACACACGGTGACGTTCAGCAGCTGCTCGCGTTCCTGCGGCGGCTGCCCCGAGTCCTGGAGCAGCAGGCGGAGGCGGTGCAGACCCTCGGAAAGCGTGTGCCGCGGACGCAGACGTGCGTGGGTCCCTGCAGGGTGGTCGTGGTCAGCGGGGCCAGGCCTCAGTTTCCCCTCCCGCCCACCCCAGGCCCGGGTTGCACGCACCGTTGACGTAGCTGAGGCTCCAGTTGAGGTCCAGTGCAGGCTCTGCAGGGCTCAAGTGGAAGCGGAAGGGCGCCCCGTGGGGTGGCAGATCCTGGTCGGTGGCGCCCAGCAGCAGCCCCGGGCCGCGGTCTGGCTCGCTGCACAGGCTGAGGGCCGGCGGCGGCGCCAGAGCGGGCGCGTGGTCGTTCACCTCCAGGATCTCCACAGACAGCGTGCCGGTGGCCGTGCGCGGCGGCGAGCCTGCGGGCCCAGCAGTGGGTGGGTTCACTCCCACACCGTCCACCCCCGACCACCCCCGGGACACCGGCCGCTCACCATCGTCCAGGGCCAGGACGATGGCCCTGTACCAGCCGTCCTTTAGGAAGGGGGAAGTGGGGCTCAACACTCTCTGCGTCTGGATCTGGCCAGTGGCTCCGTCCACCTGCAGCCAGTCCTCAGGGTCATAGTCCTTGGAGTAGCTGTTGAGGGGATGGGGGTCCTGAGCCCACTGGGACCCCCGGAGGGGCAGCATGGACACACACAACAGCACACAGTGAGACACCACACATTCCTTGCACACGTCATGCACACATGACATGCTGCAGGGCTGTGCCCCTCAGGAGCCTTTGAGGGGCATCCCCTGGATCTGAGCTGGTCTTTGCCCTCCCACAGGAGAACACTGAGGCTCAGAAAAGGAGTCGAGTGGCTCAGGGTCCTAGCCCCTGGGCAGTGCCAGATGTGGACAGGGGTGCTATGGAGACAGACACACCAGCCAGGGATGACAGGGCAGCCATGTTTATGTACACTTAGGGACATAGGGTAACATGGGGCTAAGACCTGAAAATGGTCAGAGCCTCTGCACTTATGACTGCAGCCAGGGTACCAGCCATACAGGGCCTACCTGACCCTCTGCAGCTGTTCCACATCTGGATCTTGTGCAGAGAAGGTGGCCACAAAGGTCCCTGGGGGGGCCCCCTCGGCCAGGCTGGTTCTCAGAGGGTTCTCAGGGAACACAGGCGCCTCATTGATGTCCTGCACCCAGACGCTAAGCCTGGCCTGGCCCTGCTGGGAGCGGGATGGGGCTGCCTGCAGTGGGGCCTCATTCTGCACAGACACCCTGAGCTCATAGTGTGCACAGCTCTCGTAGTCCAGGGGCTGAGGAAGCAAAGCAACCGCTGCTCAGGGCTCAGCAAGGTGCAACCTTGCACCTCCCAGACCTGCAAGGTTTGTCCTGAGCACTGCCTCCCTTTCCCTTCCCCCCTGACAAAACAAACACTGTGGGACCAAGCTGTCAAAGAACAATGCAGAGATAACAAGATGAGCCTTGTTATGGGGTGTGGAGAGCTTGCGGTTCTCCTTAGGTGCAAGCTGTGGTCCCAGTTGGCTGGGCCAGTGTCCCTCTAGGTGCTGCTGTGTGGGCACATGGCACAGGTGGCAGCAGCACTGGGCCGGGTGTCGCTTGAGAACCCTCCCATGAGCAGGTTCTGAGCCTGCCTGGACAGCAGAGCCTGTTTCTTGCAATAAACCTCCTGTGCATTGACATACAGGAGTGTGTACACTTGTGTGTGCATGCAGGCCTTTACTCTGGTATGTGGTGATCTCACACACGGATCATACCTGTGAGGCCACCAGGTGGCTTACCTTCACCACTGACAGCACACCCTCGTTGGTCCTGGGGTCCGTTCGGATGTCAAAGTGTCCATTGGGGTCACCCTCCAGGATGGTGAAGTTGGCCACCCAGTTGGGGGAACCAGGCAGGTCCTGGTCCTCCACCTCCATCCGTCCCACGTCCACCCCACTGACAGCCTCTGTGGCCTCCATAGAGAACTGGGAGAGCCAGACCTGTCACCCCAGGGTGGGGCAGGGAGGGAGGCTCCACAGGGCACCCAGCCGCCTGCCCTCCCTCTCCCATGCTGTTGGCTCTGCTATGAGTGAGGCCCAGAGGTGCCATGGCCACCCCTCCTAGGGCATGGGGCTGGCACACAGGCACCTGTCCCAGGACTGCTTCCCCCACCCTTCATACCCCCCTCCTCCGTAGCGCCCCACACCCCTGCCCTCTGCCAGAGCCCAGGTGGGTGCAGAGGCAGCACCTTGTCCTTGGTGAACTCGGGGGCGTTGTCATTGATGTCATCCACGGAGATGATGGCTGAGGCTGTGGCAGTGAGGCCTTCTCCGGACATGTCTGCCACCTGCAGCGTCAGGTTGTACATGGTGACCACCTGGGGACACATTGACACGGGATCAGAAGATGTGATGCAGCTGTGCTGGTGGCACACACCTGTCATCCCTGCACTCTGGGGGGCTGAGAGAGGAGGGTCCTAAGTTTGAGCCCAGCCTGGGCAACTTAGCAAGACCCTGTTTCAAAATAGAAAATAAATCAGCTCAGATCCAGTTGAGTATGAGGCTCTGGGTTCCAGTCCCAGTACCATGTTAAAGGAGAAGGAGGAGAAGATGCCCAGATGGGGCAAAGGTCTGGGCTCGAGTTCACAGCAGGACGAGTCATCCTAAGATCATGGTCCCCTGCACCATCATCAGCCTCTGCCCGGCCTGTAAGGGGCGAGAGATCAGCTGTGGTGCTGCACGTGGGCGCTGAGGGACCTCACTGAGCAGTGGCAGCTCGGAGGAGTCACAGGACAAGGCCAGGACAAGCCCAGTGAGGACAGACGAGAGAGGGGAGGGAAGCCTCTGCTGCTGACGTCCTGGGCCCCATGTACCTTACCCAGCAGGCCTGGCCCGTCGGTGCCAGGCCGCGGAGGCTTCTTTGGGGGGTCTTGGGGATGGACTTGGGGCCTCTGCCAGAGCCATGATTTTTATTCTGAGACAGGGACTCACAAAGTTGCTGAGTGCCCAGGCAGGGCTCGAGCTGACCATCGGCCCCAGGCCAGTGCTGCCTCACCTCTCGGTCCAGCCCCACGTGCACGGTGCGAATCTCCCCTGTGCGCGCGTGGATGCTGAAGAGCTCGGGGCTGCCCTGCTCCAGGATGGAGTAGTGGAGTGCTGCGTTGTCTGTGTCGGGGTCGTCAGCATCAGTGGCCTCGGCCCTGGTCACATAGGTGCCTGGGGAGGATGGAAGCATAGACAGAGCGGGCATGGCCCCGGCTTGGACCTGGTGTGTCAGATGTGGCCACCTGCAGCCCAGCGGCTGGGGCCCCAGCAACCCTTACACAGGCCAGAGCACAGGGTGGGGGAGCTGAGCAGGCCTCATGTAGCACCCCAGAAAGTGCCACCTGGCCCTATGGCAAACAGCGAGGATGGCGCCAGGCAGAAGGACAGCCCTCCCACTGAAGAACAAGCTGCAGGCAAGTCAGGCCCGCCTTGAACTCATTGTGAAGCCCAGGGCGGCCTCCAACTCACATAAGTCCTCCTGCCTCAGCCTTTAGAGTGTGCCACAATGCCCAGCAGACAGGGATTTCTAGAGAGCCAGTAGGACTTAAAAATGGAGCCCAGGCTACTGGTGTGGAGGCACAAGCCTATAACCTCAGCACTCAGGAGGGTGAGGCAGGAGGACCACTGTGAATTTGAGTCCAGCCTAGACCACACAGTGAGTTCAAGGCCAGTCTACACTGCATAGTAACACCATGTCTCAAAAAGACAAAAAAAAAAAAAAAAATTAAAGAAAGAAAGAAAAGAAAAAAAGAAAAAGGAGCCAGTCAGGAGAGGACAAAAACATTACCACTGGGGGCCAGGGATTTAGCTCAGCAGCATAAGCACCTGCCTTGCAAGCATGGGGTCATGAGTTCGATCCTCGCTACCAAAGAAACACAAACACTACCACTTGCTGGTCATGGTGATACACACCGTAATCCCAGCACTCAGGAGGCTAAGACAGGAGGCCAGCCTGGACTACATTATGAGACCCTGTCTCAGAAAACAAGACAAAACAAAACAAAACAAACCCACCACCCATGAAACACATGACCGGGAGTCCCTTTGTGACCTAAACTGTTATTCTGGGAATTGAGACTGAGTGAAGCCTGAGCAGACGATTGGTCTTGTGTGAACATCAATGTCCTCATCTTGACGGCTGCACCATGGCTGAGAGTCCAGCCAAGGTGAGCGGGAGGCAGAGGAAAAGGCCAGCAGGAGTGGACAGATACAGCCTACAACATGCCTGGGAATTCTCTGCAGCTTTTCTGTAAGTCTGACATTATGTCGAAATAAAAAAGCTCAAAGTAAAAATGACATTGTTGCTTCGAACCACAACCATAGCCCTGGCAGGGAATGAAGCAGAATAAATCTCGGCAGAGCAGCTGGGGCTCGCAAGCGAGCGGCCAAGGCAGGACAAGGGTGGGATAGCCCTGGCCCCGGGACCCAGTGGGAGAGGGCTGGATTTCCCGGGCATCCTTGCTGTGGGGGCTCCTCTGCGATGGAGACAGCGTCTCACCTAGACCTTGGGGATGGCACCAAGTTATTCACTAAATGGTTAATTTTTCCTTTTTTTTTTTTTAATGGTCCTGGGATTGAACCCAGGGCCTTGGCACTGAGCTATGGCCCCTGCGCCTTTTTATCTTTTGTTTTGAGACAAGGTCTTGCTAAGTCTCTAAGTTGCCCAGGCTGGGCTCAAATTTCTGATGGTCCTGCCTCAGCCTCAGCCTCCCAGGGTGCTGAGATGATTCGAACTGCTTAACTTCATGTCAAACGAACGAAACCCCAAGTAGAAGAGGAAGAGAGGCCACAGCTCGGCCACCCAGCGTCTGGAGGTGCTGAAATCCACGCTGAGCCGTGGCGCCTGCCGTGGGGCTCTGCCCTCTCTAGACTTTGGAGGAGATGCCGGGCAGAGCTGGGGCACAGGGACGGGGGTGGGGTGGACAGCGCTGGGCCTGAGGTCCACCCTCCATGGCAGGCTCACCTGGGGCCGCTCCCTCCAGCACTCGGCCGGAGAAAACTTCCTGCACAAAGGCCGGCCGGTTGTCATTCTGGTCCACAACCACAATCTCCAGGTCCGTGGGCTCCTCTAGGATGGATCCTCCCAGGTCCAGGGCAAAGACCTTGAGCTGAGCCAGCAGAGAACAGGGCTGGCTGGGCTTAGGCCACACATGGGGCAGCACAGGCCTAGCACCGGCCTGGAGCCCCGTCTCTGCCTGCTCTGTGAGGTTGTGGGTCTAGGCTTCTCCTGGAAGTGCTTTAATTCCCAGGGGCATGTGGAATTTTAAGCTGCTTATCCTGGGCAGAATGGCACTGTGTCACTTCTGTGTAAGTAAAGAACACACTCAGGATCCTGAGTAAGGAAACCAGAGCTGGTCCCTAGAACCCGGAGGAAGACTCAGAGCAGATAAGGAGGGAACTTCAGTTCCCAAAGAGGCAGAGTTAGGAAGTCACAAGCAGGGGTCAGTACAACACTGAATCCTGAGGTGCAGCAGGGTGGCAGTGCCAGCTTCAGGCCCTCAGTGGGCTCACCTGGCCCCAGCTGCCCCAGCTGCCCCCACTGACCCCACCCTGAGAAAATGGCAGCTCGAGATCAGAGTTGGCCATGCTTTGGGACCCTTCCACACCTCCAGTCAGAACCAGGACTGGAGAGACTCAGCTGAGGGTCAAGACCCAGGTCTGCATAGGCCTCGGGGTCCCCTCTAAACAGGCACAAAAGCCTGCCCACGTCCTGCACTGTAGGTCCTGGGTCCCAGTCTACCCCTACAAGGGCCAGAAGGCAGTGGCTTGCTCACAGACTGGCCTCAAAGGGATGAGGTGGGCTGGGCTGGGCTGGGGTGGGCTGGGGTGAGTGCCCACCCTGTAGGAGGCCGTCTTCTCCCGGTCCAGCTCCGCATTGAGGAACACCCGTCCTGAGAACTTCTCCACAGAGAAGAGGCCGAGGGGCTCCTCATCCACACCGGGGCCCTGGATGCTGTAGATGACTCCACCCGGCTGCCGCTTGTCCGACCTGATCTGTGGGCAGCAGGAGCTGAGGACAAGTGGGGGAGCTCCCCCATCTGCACAGCACCTGCCAGGACACCCCCAAGCCCCACCAGCCACCCAAGAGCCTCCTTCCCTGCCTGGCTCACCTGCACCAACATGTAGGGCAGCCCCTTGTAGTTCTCCGACACGCTGATGGGCGGGATGACCCAGGCTCTCCGCACGCGGCCTCGTGCCCGCGGATGGCGCCAGGGATGCAGGGTGCCGGACGCCCCAGGGCCCCCCCAGGACAGGTCAAGGGTCTGCAACATGGGCGCCAGCGTCAGGTAGCAGGCCAGCAGGTGAGGGCGCTGCTGCCTCAGGCAGGCTCAGGCCACACTCAGCTTTGAGGCCTCAACATCACCCAGGAGCACTGAATCGGGGCTGCACGCCCAGGACCACCCTCTCCGGAGTGCTTGTTGACTCGCTGGTGGGAAGGGCAAGAGAGGATCCCTGTTATCTCATATCCCCAGGGGCTGATGCCCCTCTTACCCCCGGGATGTGGGACTGGGGTCCAGACCCTGGCGCTGCCCCTGCCAGTGAAGAATAGGGACAGCTGAGTGGTGAGGACGGGCAGAGGTGGCCTGGACTGCCTTGGTCTTCATGTGGTTTGCCAGCTCTTGGCGGGCATGGATGACCGTGAAATGTCTGCTGCATCAGAGGAGGCCCAGGCTGCCAGGGCGGTGCTCATCCAGCAGCTGTCCTGTTTAAAACTGCCCTTGCCGCAGGGACCCACTGTCGCAGCACCACCCTGCAGAGTGAGGGCCCATGCTGCCCGGTGGGCAGTTTATCACGGTCACTGGTTCACATGGGGCACCTCAGGGAGCACAGGGAAGGCTGGTCAGGGGTGGTCAGCCCGAGAGGGCATGGGGCAGCTCCCGCTCACCTGCACAGGCTTCCTCCCAGGGCTGGAAAGTGCGACCCTTGGCACACCTCTCTCTCCTTTCTGGTCACAGGCCCCGGGACCCTGGCGGCCCTTCTCTGGCTACCTGGTCCCTGGCTTCTGCTACAGCTTTCTCTCTTCCACTAGGACTGAAATCTGGGGAGGGGCACGTTGTGGGGTGGGGACAGTGGCCTTGGAGAGCTGAGGGCATTCTGGGGGGTGCCTGGCCCAGGCTGAGGAGTGGGCCTGTGGGCACCTGGGCCTTCCCGGCCCTAGGGCCGGGCTTCGTTCCCATCCTGCAGCCTGTCAGCTCCATCGGCAGCGCGCACACTGCAAGAGCATCCAGGTCAGGGTAGCCTCCCTGGGTGCCGCCCTCAGCACGCTGACCCCAAGCCCCCACCCACAGACCCTCCTCCACACTGCCCCACGGGACCCAGGGTACAGATGGAGGGGAGGGGGCCAGGCCCTTGGCCTGGGGCTGCACACTGCTGGCTGACAGATGGCCACACTGCTGCCACACCGGCCAGGCACAAGCTGCTTCCAGGTAAGGGCAGGCTCCTGCCGCGTGCCAACCTGCCCACTCTGCAGGGGTCCTGGTCACAGCCTCGGGGGGGCACAGGACTAGGCTGGGCCTCCCTGGCAAGCTCCATGTGGGCCTGGGAAAATGCCCTCTCTCTCAGGGCTCTAAGCGGGGTTCAGAAAGGCTGAGCTGTCCACTCAGAGGCCCCCGGGCAGACACAACACCCAGACAGTGACCCATTGCCCTGGCCACAGCCCTTCACCCCTTCACATCCAGCGGGGCCAAACTCGAGCCAGGGCCCCACACACCAGGGCCTCGGCCCCACATCCTGGCCCCTGGATGCCCACAGGCACAGTGCCCCTCAGGTAGCAGAGGCTGTGGGGCTGGTGGCTGTGGTGGGTGCCATGAGGTGGACAGGGCCAGCTCCTGGCACTCAGCATCTGTGCAGCTTATGCTCTTTTCCTGCCCCACCCCCTTCCCAAGGGCAGGGCTCGGACCATCTTGGGGGTGAGAACATCAGGGTTCAGACAAAGCCTCAGCCCCGGAGCGCTCTAAGCAGGGAGAAAGGCATCTTGCTTTTGGACTCCTGCCCACACACTCTGTGCCCCCATGCCAAGCCAGGCCGGTCTTCCTGGAGGAGGGCCCCAGGGATACCCAAGCTCACCCTGACCCACCCTTAAGGTCAGAACCCTCAGAGCCATCTGGATACCCTAAGAACACACAGGGTCACCTGCCCTGCATCTGCCCGGGAGCTGAGAGGCAGAGTGTGGCCTCGCTAACACTGAGGAGGGCAGACCATCAGGCCTGGCTGAGGCGTTTCCCAGGGATGTGGACTGCAGATGCCCCCCCCCTCCACTGGGGATGGAGCTGGTGGCCTCTCCGGGCCCCTAAAAACCCCAGTCAGCATGGTGGCGGTGGAGCCAGTCCTAACAGGTGGCCAGGCCTAGCTGAATGTTGACTGGTGCTGAGGCCTCCACCTTGGTGGACAGAGGAGGGGATCCTGGCACAGTGGGGCTACCGTACCAGTGCTGCAGTTCAGGGGAGTGGTTCTGGGGCTGAAAGAATCTTGAAAGAAAGGACTCCTGAATTCTGGCAGGACTGTGGGCAGGGTCCTCTTGGGTTGGGGACAGGAAGCCCCCCCAGATTCCCCACAGGCTGGAATCCAGGGCCCCTGTTCCTGGATGGCCAGCACGCCAGGAATGGACCAGCTGTCGGGCAGACCCAGGGGGCCCTGCCTTCTCCAGCTGCCCAGGGCCTCTAAGGAGGGGAATGGGGGGATGCAGCTGTTCCCTCCTACATGCACGGCTGTCCCCAGACCCCCAAGGCAGCAGGAAGGGCCTCTCAGATCTATCTGTGTGCCCACCTCACCTCTCCCCACAACAGTGGGGTCCCAGGCATAGGGCCAGCAACCCAGGACACAGTGGGTGTAGGGAGGCGCTGATGGCCAGCTCTGGACACACGGTCCACATTCTGCCCTTGAGCATTGTAACCCTGACAGAAGGTGTGGGGCCGGTGCACCCCTCAGAGTCTGCAGCTCCCAGCCAGGGCCGGCTGCCATCCCAGGCTCTCAGAGGTATGGAAGGAATGACCAGGCTGGACCAGGTCTGAAGACAGAGCTGGTATGGGAGAGGGCAGGAGTTGCACAAATCTGCTGTGTGGGTGTGGAGAGTTCATGTGACCCATGGTGACAGTGACCCTCGTGTATCCAGCTGACCAGTGAAGGAAACAGAGCAAAAGGGGGAAAAAGAGGAGCTCTCCAGCCCCCACCCTGGTGACAGAACGGGGCCTGCCGACCAGCAGCCACCCTGAACCCCAAGCATAAGGCAGAGGAGCCCCAGAAATGCTGGAGTAAGTACTCTGTCGTAGGGGCTGGTAACATGCTGCCCCCACACCATGGAGTGCAAACAGCCTCATGCCAGGGATCTCGGGGTGGGGCCAGGTGTGCAGGCCTAGGGCTGGCATCAGGCAGAGGCTGCAGGGGACAGGTCTGGGGCAGGTCTGGGGCAGCCAGACTGGGCTGCTGTGCCCATGAAGGATGAGGGCCCGAAGGCAGGAGCCTGGTGCCAACCAGACAGCTGCTGGAGGGTCTGGCTGGCCAGGGCTGGCTCAGCTGCCAGGGGCTGAAACCTGAGCAGGCAGTGGGGCTGCAGGCCGTGGGAACGCCAAGGCCTCAGGAACCCCTGGTACGTGCGGGGAAGGGGGGGGACCAGCCCGGTTCCCTGCCTCCCGCTACGTGCACCCCTAGAACTGGGAGTGATCGAGCAGGTGAGGGCACGCCCCCCGGCAGTCGGAGCTACAGATGGACCACCCAAAGGCCCATGGGCCTGGGCTCTTGTGTCCACGTAGGGAGACCAAGCTGGACAGTTGCGTGCTGGGGCCCAGACAGTGGCTGGTGGCGCTGCACATGACAAAAGGCACCATGGCCATCGGGCCGCACCTCGTGCAAACTCGTGGACCTGTGTGTGCTGGGGCCAGAACTCTAGTTCCTGGCCGACAAATCCCACAGCCCCCTCTGCTGCTCAGATGCTGGGCAGGGGCAGGGACGTTACCCACGGGTGGCGAGGGCAGGTGCCAGCTCGGGGTCCCGAATCCGCTCACGCCCGCTGGTTCTCCTGCTGCCCTGCCCGTTTCCTTCCCTGACCAGCGCCCCCACTCGGCAGGGGGGACGGCGCTCTGCCCTGCTCCCCAGTTCCCGCCTGGCACCACGGGTTGGCTCCTTGGCCCAGCGGGGGCCCAACAGGCTGGTGACACTGCTGCGCGACCTGGAACAGCACCGAGAGGGCACTGCACGCCTGCGCCTCACCGTTCCGACGGCCGCGGCCGGTCCTGGGACAGCGCCCCCGGCCGGGACTCTAGGGCGCGATCCTTACCTGCGCCAGCAGCCCGAGGGCGAGCAGCAGCGCGGCGTCCATGCGGGCCAGCGGCGCGAGTGCGAGTGTCCGGCTTGGTGTCTCGGGCACCTCCGCTCGGGCTGGAGGCGCAGACGGCAGAGTGACAGCGCAAGTGTGCTGGGCCAGGACAGCACGTGTGCGGCGGGGCGGGGCGGGGCGGGGCCAGGGCAGCACGTGTGCGGCGGGGCGGGGCCGCCGGCTGAGTGACAGCAGACGGGGCGGGGCGGGGCGGGGCGGGGCGCTGAGCTCCCGCTGTTCAGAGAGCAGTGGGAAAAAGGCGGAGGGAGGAGGGCCGAGTTGGGGCGCAGCGGGCTCCTCGAAATCACCTCGCACTGGCTGGTCCCTCGCCTTGCAGGCTGTTCCTGGGCGGTGCCCATGGGCTGTGGTTAGGGAAAGAGTTGAGGGGGACCCTTGAGTAGATTCGGAAACAACACGGTGAGTGCGGGGGTGCCGGGCACTCATTCCAGCAGAGGCGTGGCTCAGAGCCAGGGGGCTAATGTGGGGTCTCACCCGGGGCTGGAGCGCACCTCACCTGTAGCTTGGGCCCTGCCAGCTGTCCTGGGCTGGCTCCCCACCTGGCGGGCACTTGCCAGGCTGTCCCTCCCTTGCGGCAGTCACAGGACTCAGGTGCTGTGCTCAGCTGGCCTAGCAGCCCCTCCTCCCTTCCAGGCCCCATGGCCCAAAGGGTCCCCTGTGTCCCCCGGAAGGCGTGCCCTGGAGGTCCCAGCGCTGCTGGTGGAGGAAGGTTTGGGAGAAACAGTGCTTCTGACAGCAGGCTTCCGGGTTCCGGGCTTCTCCGTGCTTCTTCCGTGTCAGCCCAGGGGACAGGGTGGAGCCCCTCAGACCTCGCCATCCCGGGACCTGTGGGCAGAGGGACGGGTGCGGAGCCAAGGTCAGTGCTCAGGAGACCCTGTGTGTACTTGGGGTCCTGGGCGGGGCTTCCCCCTCCTCCCCAACCCCTCCCCCCCCAGCTTCTGCCAGGCCGGCAGCCTTCGTGCCCACCGCCTGAGCCCGGGCGTGCTGTTCACCTGCTCGGCTCCAGCTCCACTGCCTCCCATCCAGCGCGCCCCTCGGCAGCTTTGCCCCTGCAGGCTTCTGCCCCTGCCCGCTTCCTCCAGGCCTGCTGCTGCGGTCTTTCTCCCGCTGGTGCTACACCACTCCTGCTCACCCTCCATGCCCTGCTCCAGGGCTCCTCCGGGAGCCCTCCCTCCCTCTGGCCTCCTGTTGGACCTGGCAATGGTTTGGTCGCAGATCACATTTGCTGTCCCCTGGCTGGGGAGCTTGGGGTCCCTAATACTGGCCCCAAAAGGCCCCACCTCAAGAGTTGCAACAGCTGCTGGCCCCACCAGGACCCCATCCTCTGTCCTGTGAGCCATGGTATCTCTCTGTGGTCAGCCTGTGTGCTCTGGCCAGCCCAGAGGGTGCGCAGCTGTAGGTGTGGCAGAAGATCCTGCCCTGGCACCTGGTCACGTACATGGGGGTGTTCCGCTGGGGGCCCACTGATTCTGAGGCTGGGGAAGAGACTAGGGTCTGCCCTTTGCCAGTCTCAGGTCTCCCCATATACTAGTGTAGTGGAAGTGTGGCGGTGCCCTGCAGCAGGAGGGCTTGTGGACCAGCCTCCCCCCAGGCTTGGCTCCTTTGCTGTCCACCCAGTGCAGCAGTAGGCCAGGCCTGTCCTAGGGCCCCAGGTCAGGGAGGTGCTGGGCAGCTGAGCAAGGTCCCATCCAATGGCCGTGTGCAGTGGTGGAATGGTCACCTGCGCAGGAGTCTTCATCCCCGGGGGTGTAGGGCCTGCAAGCCTCCTTGCACACAGCATCCCCAGCTCCTGCCCCTTCCCTTTCTCAGCTCCACAGCCTCTGACATTCTGGAACGTACCCCTACCCATTCCTCTAGTTCCCTGAGTAAGGGGCATGGTGCACCTGAGCTATATGGGACTGGGTGCGTGGTGAGTGCCTAGGTCCTTCCACTGCCCAGGTCGCAGTGGCCCTGATCAGATCGCCAGGCTGACCTTGCCTCCTGGTGCTGTGTGGGACGCCTGGGCAGCCCCACTTCCTGTGCTTCTCAGTTCACTGCCAGGTTTACATGTGGCACAGCGGGGTGCTTTCTGGCTCATGTAAGGGGTACACCATGCTTGGTGCTCACAGGTCCAGGCCCTCCAGTGCAGAGACACAGGTGTGCAGCCGGGCACTCCGGACAGGGGCTTAGGGGGGAGGGCAGGAGGGCCTAGGGCTGGGCTGGAGGTCAGCCAGGAAGGCTGATCGCCCTCAACCCCTGGCCTATCCACTGAAGGGCTAGGAATCCTGCAGAGGGGCTTCCCATCCCCTAAATACACACCTCCTCAAGGCAGAGACAGGATGGGGCTGGTGGGGTGAGATGGGGTGGGGTGGGGGGTATGGAGGCTGGCCCTGGTGTCCAGGTCACTGCCTGCCCTCTAGTGGCCATGGGGCACAGTGCAGGAGGTCCCAGAGGGGTGCCTATGAGGTGGGGATGCTGTGTTTGTTCAGAATCTGGGACACCCCCACAGACACAAAAGAATCATCATCTGCTGAGTCTGTTTTCAAAATCTGGGCATTTAAAATTACATCCAGAAAGATGGCACAAACAGCAGATGAGAGGGCTGTTTACGGGTGTGCCGGCCGTTCCAAGGCCTCCGCAGTCCTGAGGAGCTGGACTGGAGCTGGCTATCAGCTCCGGCTCTACAGGCAGTGGGCAGAGGGGGCCTGGGTCACAGCTGCTTCCCAGGGCTGTTGCTGAGCCCGGAGCCTCTGACTGCTGGGACTGGGGATCCTCCTGCCCCAACCCTGACCCTGGTCTTGCCTGTCCTCCCCATGGGGCTGGAGGACCTGGCTGGCAGTAGCCCAGCTCTTGCCCTCGGCCCACCTGATTTCGTGTGCCCTCACTGGGTACAGCACAGCAAGGATCCCAATGACAACCGGCCCCACCAGGCTCTGTGCCACCACCACTGGCAGCAGCAGAGGGCACTGTGGCTCCAGGGACGCCAGTTAGGCCGGCTGGAGAGGCAGCCAGCCTGATCTCTTGCCTGACCGCTGGGCAGGGGCAGGAAGTCTTTCTGGCAGTTGCCCCTGGCTTGGACCAGTCGGCCATGTGAACATGCCACTTCTGATGGGAAGGCCTTCGGGCAGGTGTTCCACAGGTGTGGAGGTGACAGGTCTCACCCATCCCGACAGTGCCCCTGCAGCTGTGGTGGCCAGAGTTCCTGTGGCCAATCTGACAGTGCTTTGGGGCATGGCAGCTGGTGGTAGGGCTGGTCAGGGAAGCAGAGTCACCCAGGAGGACAGACGAGTCCCTTTGCAGTCATGGGTGGGGAGAGAGGTTGTGCCTGCCGGGGGCCAGGGGACGTCCAGCTGCCGCCCTTGTTCTCCTCCAGACAGAATAGGCTCAGGCCAGCAGAGGCTCAGGAAGGCACTCAAGCCCCAAGGGATACAGGAGTTGGCAGACGGCATGGTCGCCAATCCCGGGGCAAGGCCACAGGTGTGCAGAGAGCAGGACCAGCAGTGCCAGGAGCTCGCACTGGTGAGGGAGCCCACCGACCTCAGCTGCTGTCCTGGCTGCTGGGAGGCAAAGCCCAGCTTCCCAAACACACCTGCCTGCTTAGCTCGGGGTGTGTGGCCACCGTCACAGGCAAGGCAGCCCCTCAGCACGCTGCTCAGCTTCCCCTGGGTGCCTGTCACAGTACCAAGGGCTTGCCTGACCCACAACCTGACCCCTGGCCTCCTACCACTCCTCGCTCCTCCCCATGCCTGTCCAAGAGGCCACCCTGGACATCCTGTGCTATGGACACTCACCCCACCTCTGCTTCTGCACTCTGCACCTCTCCTGAGCCACACTGAGGGCCTCCCAGCCTTGGACCTCTGGCCTCCCTCCGGTGCTGCCCTCCTCGGGACTGGCTCTGCCCCTGCATAGTGCCTGTGGGCCCTGCTGCCTGCCTGACCTGCCCAGGTCTCCTGGGCTGTGGTCTCACATCAGTGTCTGGGTGGGCAGAGGGGATGCCCCTGCCAGCTCCAGGATGCATGCGCCCTGAGGCAGGGCAGTGGCTGTGGGTAGGACCACTGGGCCCGGGAGTGAGCCTGGGCTGCTGGGTAAGGCCTGGGAGGGGCCTGAGGCTCTGCAGCTGGTGACAGCAGCAAGGGCCAGCTTCTCCAGCACCCGTCACGCTGCCATGGGTCAGGGTGGAGCTGGATGGGCAGAGTGGAGGCCTCTGCTGAGGCCAGACAGTCCAGGTGGTGGGAGGGGCTGTGGCCTGGCCACCCCAAGGAGCATGGGCACTGTCCTGGGGCTCGAGCCCCATGCCACCCACACAGAGTGTCAGCACAGAGATGGGTGGTATAAGATGGGGGCCTGCAACTCGGTGTAATGGTACAAACTGTCATCCCAACACTCCAGGAGGCTGAGGCAGGAAGGATTAGGAGTTCAAGCCCAGCTGGGTGACTTCGTGACACCCTGTCTCAAGATAAAGGGCCGGGGGCGTCTCCCAGTGTGAAGAGGCCCCAGTACTGAAAGAGAAAGGAGGGAAGGGGCCAGCGACGGTCAGCAGACGGGTCCTCTCCGCTGGGTCCCGTGACTGTAGTATCAAGGGCAAAACGACTCTCAGAAGCGCTGGAAGAAAAAGACCAGTAAGCTTTGCAGCCACAAAGGCCAAAGGCGACTCGCTGACAAGCAGAGGCCAGGGAGCAAGGCTCGCATCCCACTCATGACAGGGTGTGGCTCAGGGCAGGGCCAGCTGGGGGTGGACCCGGCTGTCTCCTGCGCCCAGCAAGCGACCAGTTGGGGTGCCGTGTGCAAAACTGACAGTGCTGCGCCCAGAGGACCACAGACTTGAAAGTGAAGCGTGGCAACTTTTGTGAGACAGACGCAGATGCCTGTGAGAGACACTGAGGCGATGGGGAGGGCACAGGGTCAGCCTGGTGGCCGTGGGACCTGCGCAGGGATGACCAGGCGCTGTGCTGGAGAACCACGCAGACCACCTCACCGCTGGCTGCACGAGGGGCGCGTTTATTTTTCCTCCAGCCTGGAGGCCCTGCACGTGCTAGGCCAGGGCTCTGCCGCTGTCACTCGGATCTCTCTCTTTCTGGACATTTTAGGGAGGCTCACAGAAGAACCAAAATGTAATTGATAATATTCAAACAAGCCAAGTGAGAGGCAGAGAGGCTTCCTGACCCAGCACCTGAGGAAGGCGAGGTGGGCCCTAGCACGGAGGCGAAGCCAGGCTGTGGAGCGAGTGTGACCGTTGGTGACCACGCAGCCCCTGCACAGAGAGACCTGGCTGCACACAGAACGTGAAGCCGCAGGAGGCTCCGCAGACGCCAGAAGCCGGCCTGGGGCGGAGCGGAAGTCTGGGAAGGAGGCCCTGGCGGTCTCGCGGCGACCGGGGAAGTGGGGACACGCGTCTCCGTGGGGGCCTGGGCGCGGCCGGGCACCTGCTTGGCCCTGCCCGCTGGGCAGCCATCGGAGCCATGTGAGCGCAGGGCGGTGCTGTAGGGGCTGCGCTCAGGACAAAACGGCACCTCCAGGGCGGAGCGCGAACCCGCTGGGCGAGGCCGGGCTGCGGCCCCCTCGGGGCTGCGTCTGTGACCCGGAGGACAGCAGAGCGGGCAGGCGCCGGAGGCGTCGAGAGTTCACGGGCAGCAGGGCGGGCAGCACCGCACCGACTTGCTCTGCAGATGCGCCAAGGACCACCCTCGCGTGCGGGGGTCTCCGCGCTGGTGAGATGAGCGTGGCCAGGACCTCTGGAGGTGGAGCCGTCCTCGACATCACCCCCTTCTTCCCCCCACATAAAGCCCCATTATCCACCCTGAGAACTTTTACAGGAAACGGGTCCTGCCTGGGTGTGGTGGTGCACAGCCCTGAGCCCAGCACTGAGGGAGACGGCCGGAGTGGCCAACCTGAATCCGGTCTGGCAATTTAGTGAGATTTGGCCTAAAGAAAGTAAAAAAAAAAAGGTAACTGGGCGTGGTGGTGTGTGCCTGTAGTCAGTCCTGGGAGGCTGAGGCAGGAGGCCATCACTAGTTTGGGGCCAGCCTGGACTATAGCAAGGCCCTGTCTCAAAAAGAAAAAATAATAAAAGAAGAAAAAGAAGAAGGGGAGAGGGTGCTGCTCCGTGCGCAGGCCCGGGGGTGATCCCAGCACTCGTGCTCACCAGGCAGGTCCCAGGGACCAAAGAGCTGCGCGTTTGCAGCTCTGCTTTCTCTGTTCACCACAAACCAAAACTCGAAGCAACAGAACAGCTCTGGTTTTCAGAGCCTTTGGGGTTTGGAGCTGGGCACAGGGCACCGAGGTTTGGCATCAGCCCAGGTGAGGTCAAGTCAGCCCTTCCCCCCACACCATGCCCATCCCCCAGGATCACCCAGCACAGGCCTGTTGTTCGTGGCAGAAGGCTTGGGGCTCGTGAACAGCTGGACGCGGAAGGACAGACAGCAGGCTGGGAGACGGCCGAGAGCTGCCGTCAGGGACACTCGCATGCCTGTGCACACCTGTGCTGCCGAGCGGGTGAGCTGTGCCATGCACACGGCACACACACTCGTGCCTGCCTCCGGCTGACAGCCGGCACGGACACCCTACCCCAGGGAGATTCCGGCCACTCGGGCAGAGGGGCCTGCAGCCTGTGGATGCTCACTTCTGCTGCACACACACAGCCAACGAGCTCAGACTCGGGTGCCCCATGACCCTGGGGATGGTGGGGGGCCCACAGAGGGAGACTGAGATGCCCAGGTATGTGGCCTGGGTCAGGGTCAGAGGTGGAAGCCGAGGGCCAAGGGGAGCTGGACCAGGCTCAGGAAGGGCAGCATCAGACACAGGGTGGCCAGATGGGCAGCTGTGCCCAGATGTGACCCCAAGCCACCACCAGTGCCAGGAGGGTGGCTTGGCCAGGGCACCTGTGCCACCCCCTGGTCCCACTCCCTGGGACTGAGCGCCAGGAAGGAATCTGCTGCTTGGCCTGCAGTTGCTGGGAGCCAGCAGGGAACTTTCTGGAATGTGCTTCCTGCACTTCTCGGGTGCTCAACTGCAGCAGCTGGCCCTCTCCACAGGAGAGGGGCCGTGTGCTCAGCCCAAGGGTGCATCCTCCTGCGGCACCTGATCTGAAGAAAGGTCACACCTGGAGACCACAGGCAGGCAGGCTGGGAGGACCAGGCCAGGTGGGGTGCAGGTGTGCCCAGCCTGCAATTCCCTTCTCCCTGTGAGCGGAGCAGGAAGTGCTCTTGGTCGTGGGCAGAGATGTCGCGGAGAAAGTGGTGGTGGGGACGGCACAAGCAGCCACCAGAGTCTGGCAGAACCCAGGGTGGCCCCGCACAAGTCCCTGGACCTCTCTGGTCAGGGACTGCAGTGTGGGCGTCAGGGCCACCACGGTCACAGTCCTGCTCAGCTCAGGATCCCGATGCCAGGCATGGCCTTGATGGGATGACAAGTCCAGATGTGGTGGGCCGCTGCCCTCCCTGGCCCAGAGGACACCTGTGGTCCTGCCTCTAGTGCTGTCCTTCATGGGGTCAGCCTGGTCAGCAGCCTCCTGTCGCCTTCCCCAGGGAAGGCCTGGGCCTGGAGTCACCAGGACTGCCCTGTGCTAAGTGAGCTGATCCTCTTCCTCTAAGGCAGGCCCGGGTCCCAGGGTGAGGGTGTAGGTGTCTGAGGCCACTGCCCTGCTGCCCTGTGGGGGTCGCTGCACAGAACACTGCTGCTGCCAGGAGTCGTGGCCGCTGTGGCTTCCACAGCTGCTGGCCCTGTCCCACAGGCTGCTTCTCCTACAGCGCACCAAAGAGGGGGCTGCTGCTCTGACTCAGTTTCTCTTTGGGCATCTGCCCTGCCACTGCCCCTCCCAGGCTGTGGTGGGATGTGGGTCACTGCTCAGGGGCTCCAGTAGTGGAAGAAGCCCCAGCAGGTATGGGGCAGGGCCCATTGGGTGGAGCGCCAGGGGTGGAAACTCCACATGCCCACACCACAGGGCCCTGCACCACTGCAGTGCTGGGAGACAGTGAGGGGCCTCCCCAGCCTCTGCTGAGGGGCACGGAGCGGGCCATGACCATGTGATGCTGGTCTGCAGGGGCCCTGTCCACGTCCCATATCTCCTAGCAGGGTCAGAAGCAAGCACTGGCCTGGCTCTGACCAACGGGGAGCTCGGTGCAACATGGGGAAGCTCAGGTGGCCTGGAGGAGGGCGGCACAGAGGGAGGCCCCTGCAGCCCTGGGGAGCTCTGCCTCATGGGTTTCCGACAGCACCACAGGGTGGGAGAGCGGCAGGGCAGCTCCAGGGCTGCACAGGGTCCTCGGAAGCCACAGCGCTTCGGGCCTCGCCTTGGGGTGTGTGTGTGGCCCGGCTGCTGATGCCCATGGTCCCCCAGCAGGGGCCTGTGGCTCCCTGAATGCCGGGATCTGAGTGGTTTCCTTCCCAGAAGCCACAGAGTGAATGGGCCCACATGGCAGGACTGGGTGCTGAGCCAGGATGCGATGGCCTCAGGTGGGCAGGGGCCAGAGCAAGGGGCAGGAGCACGGGTCGCAGTGACCGCTGTGTGAGGGGAGCAGTGCGGGAGCGTGTGGCGCCTCCCGCTGTGACTCAAATGGGGCTTGACAGAGACCAAGAGGTAAGTCAGATGGTCATGGAAACCTTTTTAGGGATCAAACTAAAGAGGTCAAAGTGTGAAACCAGCACACCCAACCTGGCAGTGTGGTGGTCAAAGGGTTCCCAGCAGAAGGCACCTACGCAGCTGCCCATGGCCCGGGCTGTCCTGTGGGCCCCCAGTGGGGAGCACCTGGGAAAGAGTGGACTCCTGGGCCAGCTGCGGGGACAGCACAAGGTCACAGTGGCTGGAGACCACTGTGTCTGAGACTCCAGTGGGACCTACCAATCACCCTGAGAGGATGTGACGGTGTGGCTCAGCTCATAGGTGGCTGACACCTCCCACAGCCTGCCGGGCTCTGCGTGGGTCCCTTGTGTGGGCTGCGGGGGGCAGAGCTGGAGATGAGCAGGCTGGAGCGAGTATGTGAGGAGAGGTGACAGGAAGCCCAGCAAGTTCTGCATCTGGGGACAGCCCGGAGGACGCCGAGCTTCCCAGGGTGCACGTGGTAGGCACAGGGGCAGGACTGGTGGGCTGTCCCCCCACAGGGCACCCAGCCACACAGCTTGGAGGTGCCCATGCATCAAGGACCTGCTCTGGGGCATGCCTGGCAGCCTCGGCCACTGGAGGTGGCTGGCCTCCTGGACACGGGACAGCTGGAGCTGCTGTGAGTGTGGTGGCAGCCTGGGCCTGGGGAGGCATCTCACAGGGATTTTGCTCCGCATCGTCCTGACTCTGGTCGGCCTGATCCGGGTCCTATCCAGAGGGCGCTGGGCCCTGGTCCATGGTAGGTGCTGGTCCCTGGCCGGACTCAGGGAAGAACTGCCTGACCAGGTCCTTCTTGTTGATCTTGCCCATCTGGTTCCGTGGGATCTCCTCCACCAGCAGGAGCTCTGAGGGCACTGCGTAGGGAGCCAGGAAGTGCCTGCAGAGAGGGCAGAGAGGGCGCTGCCTGCACAGCTGGGCACAGAGCCCGATGGGGCCTGGCCTGGCCAGGGGATGGGCTGTGGGTGGCCATCCATGCAAAGGTGTGATCTGGAGCTCCCCTCAGACCGGCTCCAGATCCCATGTGTCCAGTGTCTGAGCTCCACCCTTGGGGTCTCCACACCCACACCAAGCACCATGCTGGCCAGTACAGTCCTGCCAGTGCCAGTGGCCTGAGGAGGACAGGCCCATAGCATCCTCTGTCCTAAGACACCAGGGCAGCCATCGCGTGCACACCTGCCCTCCCATCTTTCTTTATAACAGAGCAATTGTTTAACCAAAGCAGCAGCCACCCACTGACTCCTGCCTTTGTGACTACTGCGCTCCTACTGGGATTCTGCAGATCCAGGGAATCTGTAATTGCCCAGCCGTGCTGCCCTGATGAGCCAGGGACTCCTGCTGTGTGGATCCACAGGCTGGGACCAAAAATATCTCGGCTGAGAAGGAGGAGACGGAGGAGGAGGAGATGGTGGAGATGGGGGAGATAGAGAACGAGGGACTGGAGGAAAAGGAGATGGAGGAAGAGATGGAGGAGGAGGTGGATGATGAAGAGGAGGAGGAAGAAATGGAGGCAGGCAGCTGGGGTGCCACAGGTTACAGGAGAGCACAGGGGAAGGGCTGTGACCACAGCGAGAGCCCCGTCCTGGGCTCATGCAGGCTGCTGAGAGGGTCAGGGCACCCGTGGCCAGGTCTTCCTGCACAGGACGTGGTGTGGCTCAGGAGACCTTGGGCACCTTGCTCAGTGAACCCTAGGGAATGGAGGTGCCTGGGGCCGAGTGGGCCCAACGGGCCTGGGGTGGGGCAGCACTCAGGGCACCAAGGGCAGGGACAAGGCCCTGGGAGAGGGCAAGTCCACAGGGTGCAGGGGCCTTGGGACCCCGCAGGAGGGAAAGGCAGAGTCACAGTCCGGGACTGCTCAGGATTGGGGAGCTCATTCTGAGGGCTGAGGCCTAGCACTGCTTCCTTTGGAACTTACCCTAAAACCGAGCTGGGTAGTTTCTGCTTATGCTCCAGGGGCACAGGCGTCTTGCCTTCGCCGATACTGCCTCGCACGCATCTGTCCCCAGCCTGGCTGCTGGGCCTTCCCAGCCTCCCCCCGCCCCCAGGCCTGACTGTCCCCAGCCTACCTGGCCCAGTGCTTGAGTTCGCTGTGGGACAGTGAGCGTCCTGCCTTCAGGGCCACCACGGCTGTGACCCGCTGGCCCCATGTCATGTCAGGAATGCCAATCACGGCTACATCTGAGAATAGCAGAGCAGGCTGGGTGCTTGGGCCAAGTGCCCTCTGTCGGCCACCCGCTTGCACCCTTGGGCACACGGCCTGCTGAGCCTACCAGCCACGTGGGCGCCCCCTGCTCCCCCTGCTGGTGGCAGGACTGGCCGCCAGGTCGGGGCTGTCCCCAGAGCAACGGACCGCACACTTACCTGCGATGCTGGGGTGGGCCAGCAGGTGCCGCTCGACCTCCAGCGCGCTGACTTTGTACCCTCCGGTCTTGATGATGTCCACAGACGTGCGGCCTCGGATCCAGTAACTGCCGTCTTTGAACACGGCGGTGTCCCCTAGAAAGCCAGTGTGGTAGCAGCCGGAACAGCCGGGTCAGCAGCAGACCCGCCGTGGGTCTCGGCCATAGCGCAGCTGGCCACCTCTCCACTGTGGGCTCCAGGCACGGGACCATCCCAGCTGGCCTTGACAGCAGCACTGAGGCCTCCCTGTCTGCCCATGCTTCCTCACCTTACAGGCCACTGCTGGCATAAATCATAAACATTCCCTGGTCCATCCCCAGCCTGACATGGGATGGCGCCATCCCTGTCTGTTGCACCTTGAGACCCGCAGCTGGCGTGCATGCTGGTCCAGGTGACCGGGCAGGTTGAGCTTGGGCGGCCACAATAGATGAAAGCTGGTGAGTGGCCAGTTGGGCTGCTGGGATGCGTGCGGCCTGCTCTGCATTCTGGGGTTTCTTGTTACAGCCGGTGGCAGCCCAGTCTCAGGCCCCTATCAGAGGCACCAAGCCACCCCTATGGCCTTTCCTGCTCCTGCCCTGCATTTGGGCCTCTGGTTGAGTCTTACAGGACCCCACTGCCCATCCCTCTTTGTGGGTTCTCAGTGAGTGAGCCCTGGATAGCAGCAGCCTCCAGATATGCAAAGCCCCACTCCCTCAGCGCCTGGTCCAGGAGTCGCCCGGTGTGCCCGTGGGCCACGAGCACAGCGCTGGGGAGTGTTGGCCATGGACTCCGAGGATTCGCCTGCTCTTTGGAGATTTCTCCCCACACTCCCAGGCCCTCACTTCTGAGCACCAGGACCTTGGAGTTCAAGGACCTCAGGCCAGATGCACCCAGGGGCTGCCACCGCCGAAGGGTGTGAGTCTAGGGAAGGGCGAGAGAGCCGGGGAGCAGAGTGTGTGGCCCTGGGCACCTTCCACACAGGCAGCTGGGCAGTGCCCTCTGTATAGCCATGCTCGTGGCTGATGGGGGCTGTGAATCCTCGGGACCACTTTCTACTCAAGGTGGGGAGCTGCTGTGAGCAGCTGGGACGCAGACACACGCAGGCACCCAGTATCTACCTGCTTAGCATCCCTGTCGGCAGTGTCCCTGGGAGGAACGAGTGAAGGATCAAGTTCAAAGCCCAGCATGGAGATGCATGCCCATTATCCTGGCACTCTCGGAGGCTGAGGCAGGAGGATTTCAAGTTTGAGCCCAGTCTGGGCAATTTCATGACTTTGAAGAACAAACCTCAAAGTTAGGGGGAAAAACCAAAAAAGGGGGCCAGCGATGAAGTTCAGTGTGAAGACCACAGGTTCCACATCTAGTACTGAAACACAAATGAACAAACAACCCCCCAAAAAACCATCAAGCCCCAAAGTGTTCAAGAGCCCAGGATGGAAGCACTGAGCCAGGGCTGCAGGGGTGGGGTCGCAGGTGCAGTGAGCTCTCAGGGCCCTGCACGTGCCCTCCCATGAGCGGCCCACGATCTCCCACTCAGTACAGTGCCACCTGGCCCTTGGCCAGCGGCTTCCTGCTCAGGCCCACCTTATGGGCTCTGGCGCAGGGGATGCCAGGATCCCACGGGAGGGAATGGGTGGCGGCTCATCCTCCTACAGTCTGGCCCTGCCACTGAGGGCCACACTGAAGCTGAGATTTGGTGAGGCCTCTGCAGAGGTCAGGGTGGAGCAAGGTGCTGTCCAGCATGGGGCCCAGAAGCAGCCACCACCTGGAAGTGCACATGCAGCAAGCCAAGTGGCTCTCTCTTCATGGCTACGTGTTCATCAAGCTGTGTGACCCAGCCCACAGGGCCCCGGTGGCCCAGCCCACCTGACGGGTCCCTGGCACGTGTGTGCTCAGGGAATTTTGTTCTGGGACCTGCAGGTGACGGATGGAATCATATCACGTGGATTTGTGCCCGGCTTTCAGATGTAGGATTACCTCATGTCTGCCCTAAACCATAAGTGAAAACGAGTCTATTACTCAGATGCCAGTTCTTGGTCATCTGTGGGCCTCCCCCAAGGCTGCTCTGAGACTGTGTGTTGCCCAGGGGCTCAGGACTGATTTCTGGTGGGGGGCCTCTGGCTGTGGGTTGGAAGCTCTGGCCCAGGAAGTGTGGGGACCCAGGACCACCAGCTGAGGGCTGCCAGCCAGGCACCCGGCCTCCTGTCCTCCTGGTCCTCGGTTTCCAGGGAGGGGCTAACACAGGGCTTGGCCCAGGCCACCACCCATAGGCTGCAGGAACAGCTGTGCCTATGTTGAGGGGAACCAGCTGGCACTGAGTACCTGAAGGGGGGCTCTGTACATGGCACAGGGCTGCCGGCTAAGGGAGACACCAGGAAGAGTGGCCGTGGTAGCTCTGTGGAAATGCCGAGGAACCAACCCTGGCTCTCCCAAGACAATATCAGCGGGCAGTGTCACAGGGAGGCAGGGAGATGGTGGAAAGCTTCAGACAGGGATGACAGGAGTGCAGGAGCTGGAGGCCAAGAGGTTCCCTGCCCAGCTGGGGATCCAACCATGCGCAGTGGACAGTGGAGGGGTCTCCGGGAGGTGGGAGCGAGGCTTCTCAGGTGCCCCGCAGCCAGGCAGCGTCACCACCAGCAGGATGGGGGGACGACACGGCAAGGGTACTGCTGGTCCCGGTCTCCAGCACAGATGTTGCCTGGGCTGGTCAGGGACAGGGTCCCAGAGGGCAGCAGGGCTGCCCCCACCGCAGTACCATGGCAGAGGCCAGATGTGGAAGCCGTGAACAACCCTGGGGCCAGGGCGGGGCCATAGGTTTGGACCCTTGGTGGTGAACGCACAGGATTCTCCAGGTTCCTGCTAAGGTGGCATGCGCTTGAGCTACTGGGGCCTTGATTCCACAAAGATCTGTGACATTGGCAAAATGAACTCAAAAGCACTCATCTACCGCCTGAGCCCAGTGGCTTTAGGGCTACCCATCAAGCAAGGGACAAATCGCGTGCTGCTCTGGGCAGCAGTGCCCAGCTCTGCACTGGGCAGTGCCACTCAGTGAGGCGCGTGTAGGAGGCCAGGGTCAGGGCCAAGCCCCACGCTGGCCATCACGTGTGTGTCTGCAGTGTGGGTGGCCCCCGAGAACCGAGCAAAGACCGTTGGTGCAGGAAGGAAACCCCAAGACTTGGGCATGACACTTGACCCAGAAATCAGCAGCCTCCCACGCTGAGCACAGCTGCTGAGGGGCACAGGGTGAATGCCTGGCCAGGACGCCCAGAGCCCACACAGCGCCGCACACTCACCTGGGCCCTGGCATGCTCATGTGACAATTCAGCAGAGCACATAATGCCTCAGGACAGACAGATATGGGGCTGGTGCTGGGCGGGTGCCCCCAGGTCCCCGCAGAGACCCACATGGGTGGGCAGCACCCCGTCTTGGGGAGGCCTGTGCACTACATGTCCACTGCGGGCAGGAGAGAGGAGATAGGGTCCATGCCCTGGACCAGGTGCTCCGAATCTGCCACGAGTGCCAGCTGTGACCCCAACCATGAGCCACGCAGACCTAAAGTGCCCCCAGGCTCTCGGGAGGGCCAGGCCCAGTTGGTGCTGCCCCGGAAGGGCTGGCACACAGCAGCAGACACCGGGCAGAGGTGGTCCCCCTTGTGGTGAGCACACAGCACTGTCCCTTGGCAGCTCTTTCTGGGAGTGAGGCCCTCATCCCTCCTGGAAGGACCTGGTCCTTTCCCTCTGCAACCTTCCTGCCACGAGCTCTGCCATCCTCCTGGGTGGGGACAGTTCCCTAAAGATGCACACTGCTGGCCGCCCACCTGCTGGTGTCTTTGGTACTGGTGCACATTGGCCGTAGAGTACTGGCGTTAGTTCCTAAGGCCCCACCTGGCTTGCCACATGGGTGCTGATGAATGACCCTCCCCTGAGCCCTGGCTGCCCATGCTGCTCCCTGAAGGGCCACTGCGTGCCCACGGCACCTGCCAGGTGGAGGTGCAAACTGAGTCCCCGGGACCTGGCTCCAGGGTCACCTGCCAGCCTGCTGAGGTCCTAAGCAGCAACAGTGAACCTTCTATAGACCAAATGCCAACTGCAGCCCAAACCCACTTATTTATCCAAAGTGCCATCACTGCAGTTAACTCTGAACACTGAGGGTTACAAAGAGCAACTCTACATTGATGTCTTTTGTCTTAAAAGAAAAATACATCCTGCCTGGCAAGCGTGAGGTTGTGAGTTTGATCCCTGGTACCACAAAAACAACAAAAAACAAAAAACAAAAAAAGCAGATATTTGCTCCATGAGGAAATTGTTAAGTAAAACGCAATAACAGATGCACCATTGGCTCACTACCACTGTCCTCGGGTCACCTGCCTGCCTGCACCTGGGCTCCCGGGTCATCTGCCTGCCAGGGCCCCAGGTCCTGGAGGCACCCACTCATGTGGTCCTGGGTGCCAGGCTCAGCTGCCCACCTGCAGGGATGGCTGACCAGAGGGGAGACTCACTAGAGGGGTCCTTGTGAAGACCAGGGCAGCGTGAACGGACCACAGCTGCGGTGGCCACCTCTGCCTCTTCTGTCCCCAGAGGCCAGCTGGGGAGGAGCAGGGTAGGGCCAGCCTGCTGAGTGCCTCCTGCAAGCTCCCGGCAGGGGTGTGGCGGGGAGAGGGTTAAGTTTAATTTACCCTGATTTCCCTTAATCTCATGCTGGCCCTGTAGGAGCAGCAGCTGCGAGCTGATTGCGGTCTCATTATGCAGCCTGTGTCGCTAATGGCCTGTGACAGGGCTGGCGCTCCCAGGCCCCAGCCCAGCCAATCACACACACTCCCTCCTGTTCCCAACACATTACAATGGAATTAAACTGAATTTCAAGACCTTTCCTCCCGGGGATGTCTCCTTACGATAATTAATGCGAGTGCCTGTGCCTGTACCCACAGCAGCCCCCGCCCACCTCAGCCGCCCAGCCCACGGCTCAGCTCTGAAGGGTTGGCGGCTTTTTATCCAGATGTGAAACAAAGAACGGGGTCAGGAGCGGGCAGCTCCGGCGGGCGCTGTCCAGGGACCTGCTCAGAGGAGGGCTGCCCTACACGGGTGCCTGGTGGCCGGGTTCCCTCTCACCTGGCCGCTTACCCACCAGGTGTCTGACCACCTCCTGTCACAGAGCGGGCACTGGCCCTGGCCTGGCTCTAGGGACACTGGTTCCATGAGTTGCCTGCCATGCCAGCACCCCAGGCCTCTCTGCCACCTCTGCCTCTCGGTGGACGTGCTTGTGCTTGTCCTTCTGCCCACAGCTGCTGGGGGACGAGGTGGGTGAGGGGGCTCAGGTCACGGAGGGTGCGAGGTGCTGTGCTGCCAGTACGGGAAGGGGGCACTCTGACAGCTCCTCAGCAGCAAAGGCGTGGTGTCCACCTTGAACTGCCCTCTCTACTGGTGACCAGCCTCCCTGAGGGGCTAGGTAGGTGACTCTGCTCCTACAGCCCACACAGTGAAGGGCACCGAGACTCCAGGCCACTGTTACCTGCATGTCCCTCCCCAAGACCTTCCAGGAAACCACCTATGAGCCCTCCGTCAGCTGCTGCTCCCACCAGCCACGCCTGTCATTGTGGGCCAGGGTAACACGAGAAAAGAGGATCTATTCTTCAGAAAATGCCACCTTCAGAATTATAAAACAAAGCCGGATGTGGTAATGCACACCTGTCAGACCAGCACTCTGGGAGGCTGAGGCAGGAGGATCTTCGGTTCAAGCCCAGCTTGGGCAACTTAGTAACTTAGAGAGACCCTGTGTCAAAACAAAAAAAGGGCTGGGAACAGAGCTCAGAACAAAGCATGTACACACAAATATTTTAGAAATATGGATAGGCAAAAAGAAAAACAGATGCCACTGAGAACCCCACCATCCCGACGCGTGCTAGCATTGTCCTTCCAGGATAAAAACGCACGTGTGTATGGCATAGTTCTGTACCAGAGCGTTTCCTCCTGACCCTTGTAGAGCCTGGCAGGGAACAGGGTCTTGGAGCCAGGGCAGGCTCTGCAGAAGGTCTCCCCAGAGGACCCTACTGTGGTGACCACCACAGTTGTGCACCCACCGTGACTGACCAGTGGGAAGTAGGTGGGGGTGATGTAAATGGCCACACTGAAACCAACCACGTGAAATCCAGGGAGGTTGGGAGGGGTACAGCAAGAGCAGGGGTGGTGGGAGGTGGGGGGGTCTCTGTGCAGGGTGTGGAGTTGCACCGGGAATGCGGTCCTGACCCCGAGGCAGTGAGACCCCCAGAGAGGGGATGTGGTGGTGGCATCTCTGGTGTGGACACACACAGGGCTGCGGGATGGGGCAGCTGCGCCTCTGGGGGCCCAGGTACTTCCTAGGATCCCCAACCTGCCCCTGCCTTCGGCGACAGCTTCCGGACATCAGCTCAGGGCTGCAGCTCGCCCTGCAGGCTCTGCCGCCCTCCACCCTCCTGGACATGGGTCCTACCTGTCCTGAACCAGCCATCTGGGGTGAAGGCACACTTCGTTTCTTCTGGTTTATCCCAGTACTCCCGAAACACGGAGGGTCCCCTGACCAGCAGCTCCCCTTCCTTCTCCTCGAGCCCTGGGGTCACCTGTAGGGGGCAGCAGGGACATGCAGGTCAGAACTGGGCACCTGGCTCTCTGGTCCCTGCTGCCCTGGCCACACAGGCTACTTCTGGCCACCCTGTGGCCCAGATGCTTCCTGACATCAGACATGGTGGCCAAGTTTGAATAAGTGGCCCAGTGTGCCCTGATGGCCCTTTAGGGCTGCAGACACCTCTGCCCTGTGACAGGGGTGCTCAGTCCTTCTCAGACATGCTCTGGGTCCTGCAGGGCAGCTGGGGTACTCTGGGGTGGCAGCACCCAGAGGGTCTTGTGAGGCCGAAGATGCTCAGAGGGACCACTAAGGAGGGAGGGCCCGTGATGAGAGTGAGGTGTCGCCAGCCTTCCCTGCCTCAGGAAGCTCAGCAACACCTCAGGCCATCTGGGTTTATATGAAGCCGGGTTGGGACCTCAGGTGGGCCCAGGAGCAGACACTCACGAGTGTGGCGGGTTTCCTGCAGGTCCCCTGGCAGGTGGGTCCCCTGAGCACAGGTGATAAAGTGGGGGAAGGGCGGGGGGAAGCAGGCTGGCATCACCTGTGACAAGCTGTCACACTATGGCCCCTGGCTGCTCTGCCCAGGCTGGCTACGAAGAGACACATTCGGCAAGCATCTACACCATCCTTTTAAAAAATCAGTGACCTCTGCAATAGGCTGCAAATTGTGTAATTTGGCTGCTCCGATATTTGCTGCTGGGAAAGGAAGCTCAAGTGGCCTTGGGCTGATGCAGTGGTCCTGACACAGGGCGGCCTCAGTTACCGTTTCCCCGCCTCCTGCCATCTGCTAACTCAGGGGAGGCCTGGGTTTGTTTTTCCAGACTAATGTGCATACTTTATTTAAGCCTGGCTGTCCGGCATCAGTTCTGCTCCTATGGCAGCACACCTGTGGGATGGCAGCGTGGAGCCTGGTGAGGGTACCCATGAGGAAGCCACCGCAGAGGGATGGGGTGCAGGGAGTGAGCCAAGGAAAATGCAGCCATTGCTGGAGGTGGACGAGACCGGATCTCCAATACACAGGCCACCTGCGGGACAGTGGGCCCAGAGGCCACATGCTCACTTCGGGCTTTGGGAGGACGGAGAGCTGTGTGCAGAAAGATGTTGGACAAAATCTGACCGGAAACCCACAGCCTGGTGAAACCTGCAGGTTTAAAAAGCTCAGAGACCCCAGACAAGACCAGAAGCACAGGCCCAAGCACGTGGTGATCCGGCCATGAAAACCGAAGACAGAGGGAAGCAGACAGCAATCAGGACACACGACCCATTTCTTAGAGGGGGACATGAGGCAAATGACTGGGGATCTCTCTTCAGAGAGGGAGAAGCAACGTGGGCAGTGACTCTGGTGAGCATGGTGCCTCGCCTTGTCCCTCCATGCTCCAAGCTCTTTGTGAGGCCTGGGAGCCACAGATTGTGTCTAACGGCATTCGCACATGCGGAGGTCACAATGTAAACACTGAAGTGGCCCCAACGGCAGCTGAGCAACCTGGGAGGGTTAACACGTTCGTCCCAGGCAGACTGAAAAGCAATGTGGGTATTGCATTCCCCGGAGCAACTACTGAAGGGATGACACAGAGACACACAAAAACTCAGCTGCCAGGACACAGCACCAAAGTGCAACCCCCAAGGAAGGCAGCGAAGGCCCAGAGAACACTAGCGAACAAATAATAAAACAGAGGACTTAAGTCAGAGCACGCCAGAACCACGTTTCGTGTACATGTCTGAAACCACCATCCAAGGAGAGCGGCCAGCCTGGATCAGGGACGTGTGTCAGCCCAGCATGTGCTGCCGGTAGGAAACTCGCCTCAAACCCCACCATGCGGGTGGGGCGGCACAGCACACAGCAGCAACGTGTATGCGCCAAGCGAGACTCACTACGTGAAGCAAAATCAGACAGGCTGGCTGATGATGCGCACCCTTCAGCTGGTGTAGGGTGGTAATGAGAAAGCCACCGAGGGCACGGAGGGCCTGCGAGGCCACCTCCTCCTCCTGACACACCTGACACACCTGACACCTCCTGACACACCTCCTGACACAGCCACCCCCTGGTACTCGCTCCAGCACACCAGAGCACACGCCAAGCGAGCCATGTCTGGGCCAAGTACTACTGCTCAGCAGATGCAAAGCAAATAAAGTCACACCACACACACTTTCCCGAGTGTAGTGGAACAGAAATGAATCTTAGAGACCAGAATAATCACAAACATTTGAAAAATATACGACATGCTGAAATCTATGAGTAGTCAAAAAAGAAGTCTTAATGGAACTTTAAAAATACTTTAGACAGGGCTGGTGATACAGCTCTGTAACACAGGCACCTGCCTGGCAAGCACAAGGTCCCGAGTTCGATTCCTGGAACCCACCCTAAAACATTCTGAACTGAAGGAAAATGAAAATATAACACTTCAAATGTGGGGGATGTAGCCGAAGCAGTAGTCAGAAGGCAATTTATAGTCTTACATGCACTTACAAGTAAAGAAGAACCTCAAATCAGTAGTCAAACGTCAACCTTACGAAACTGGAAAAAGAAAAATAACTCAAAAGCAGAGGCAGAAAGAAGCCAAAGTGAGAAGAAACAATCAGGTAAGAACAGACATCAATCAAAGTAAAAGGAGAAGGAAAACAACGGGGGAAAATGAATGACCCAAAAGCCAGACCTCTGAGAAGAGGTCCGAGCATCAGCCCTGCCCCGGCCAGACAGGAGGAGACACGGTGGCGGAGGGTTAGGAGCGTGGGAACCGCGGGCCTCGAGGGAAAGGGCCGGCGGGCAGCCCAGAGAGCCTCTCAGGGCCAGCTCCCGAGACGCCGTGGACGGCAGGAAGGCCCAAAGCCACTGGGGAGGCCAGAGCCCTGTTAGGATCTTTCAGAACAGACACCGATGGGCCCAGCGGGCTTACGGGTGACTCCTGCCACAGCGAGGGAAGAATGGCGCTGGATCTGCACAGCCTTGGCCTGAAACAGGAGAGGCTGCGGTGGGGCTGGCACCGCAGATGCCCACGCATCTGAGGCAGCCTGAGATCCAAATTGTGAAAACCTTTGGTTTCCTGGAAAAAAGACAGCACCCAGAGCTCCAGCAACAGAAACCTGGTCACCAGGAGCCAGGTGTGGGAGGCAGGCTTGTCCGGCCCATGACTGTCCGCCCTGACGTGTGTGGGCTGGAGGGGACGTCCGGGCTGCCCCAGCCCTCCCCACCCAGCCTGGGTGGCAGCCGAGCGCATACAGTGACAGCTGGGGATGAATGGGGAGCAGGAGGACAGCAGGGGAGACGGGGTGCTGGGCTGGGGAGTGAGGCAGAGCAGAGCCGTCCGCCGCCGAGCAACAGCCTATGCGTGGAGAAACGAGGCAGCCGGAAACACAGAAGCAGGTCTGCTGTCGCCACAGCCACATCTGCGGCGTCCACGGCAAGGAGAAGGCTCTGCGAGAGGCCTGGCTTATAGCATGCGCTGGACGCAGCCACAGGCCTTTACCTGCTGAGGACCTTGTTGCCCTGGCTGTGCTGGGCCCTCCTGTCAGCGAGTGACTTGAGAAATGAATAAAGAAATAAATCAGCGACAAGGCCTGATGTGCTCCCGGTAGGCCTCGCCTCTCGTGGGCCAATTGCGCTGACACGGGCGGCACAGAGTTCAAAACCGTGCTCGTGAGCACCACAGGGCCAGGGGAGCCTGCCATCGGGGAGGAGCCAGGGCAGCCTTGCATGATGGTTGGGAGACACCCTGGCTGCCAGCCCCATGCTGGGCTCAGAGGCATGCCCGGGTGAGGGCATCTGGGCATCTGTGTGCCCCCCTGCAGGCGGCTGTGCCCTGCCTCATGTCACAGCCCCATGGCCTCCCCCACTGTGTGTGTGTGGGGGGGCTCCTTTCTATTCCAAGTGCGTCTGGGGACAAGCTCGCTGCACGCAGGGACGATTACAGAGCTATGGCAGGGGCGTTTTCAGGTGGAGCCCGCAGCTTGCCACTGCAGGTGCCAGGCAGTTAAACTTCCTTTTAAATTAAGACAGAGTTGCTCTGAACCTTCCCTTCCTGACATTTCTGCCACTTCCTGTGGAGCAGGTGCTCGGGTGTCTGTTTGGGGGACCAGGAGGAGGGCGGGGCTGTGGAGGAATGCTGCAGGGATGAGGGGGCAGGTTCTCTTCTCTCCTGACCTGGTACCCATGGGCCACTTAGTGACCAGTGTCCTGGAGGTGAGGCCAGGCCCTGGAGGGGCTGAGGCAGGCACCCCAAGGTTCAAGAGCGGCTGGGGTCACGTGGAAGGCTCAGGAAGCCTGCACCTCAGGACAGGGCTCAGGGGCCAGCAGAGCCGGAGGCTCGGGAGACCCAGGGGCCTGGCAGAGGCCTTCCTGGGTGGGCAGATGCTTGCTTCCTGGTGTTCCCGAGACCTGCGCAAGCTCCTGCCACCTGCCTGCTCACAGTGCCCTGCTCTATGCTTCTCACGGCAGGCCTGAGGTGGGGGTGGCCGTGCACAACTCCGTGGCTCCAGGCCCCTCTGCCTCTGGACTCCTCACCCGTGGTCCTTGGCACCAACTCCAATTTTACAGAAGGTGACTGCCCTTCAAGGGTCCCCAGTGACCGTAGGTCCTTAGCTTTTAAAGTCTTCAGTGAAACAAGGCAGCATCCCTCCTCGTGGTCACCCTTGCTACCTCCAGAGTGAGGCAGGATGCCCAGAGGGCTCCAGCGATAAGGCCATCCTTGACACCCAAAAAGGTGTGGAGCCATGGGGAGAAACGGCTGCGTCAGCATCCACAGGTCCCCCACCCCACACCTGCGGGCGCTGTCCTGGCCTCTCCTCTGCAGGACCCACTCATCCCCATCCCCACGGCCCCTGCTCCAGGGTGAGACCCAAGACCCTGCAAGCCCTCTGCTGCCAGGCAGCACCTCTGCCGTCTGGGGTACCTTTGTCCCCTGTGCATCCCCCTCCGCGTGCACGGTGTAGGGGCAGCCATTCCTCTGTGGGCTCTCGGAGACGATGCGAACCTCCACTTTGGGCAGTGGGGTCCCCACGGAACCTGCAGCAGGGAGGAGGACCAAAAGCAGTGGTTAGGACCTGAGAGGACCCCACCCCGGGACTCTGTCAGGAGGGAGACGCAGGGACCTGGAGCGGGCGAGCGCCATCCAGGAAGTGTGTGTGGGCCCAGCCTGGGTGTCCAGTGCCCTGCCACTCCAGCACGGCTGACCTGGGAGCTCCCAGGGCTCACATCCACCGTGGCAGGCATGAGGGGAGGGGTGGATGTTGGCCAGGAACAGGAGGAAGCGGGACCCACTGGTGCTCGCCGCAAGGAGCAGGGTTGGAAGCCAGGATTCCAGGGTGAGCATTGACCGGGCACTGGGGACCCGTGGGAATCACTCTGTGTGCCTGCACAGGAGGCAGAGCCCAGCAGCAGGGGCGTCCAGGGCCCCAGAGTTCCACGGCCCAGATGCTCTGCTCAGTCCGAGAAGGTACTAGTGCAGTGCCATTCTGCATGGGCCCCGCAGGTCAGCAGAGGGCGATCCAGAGTGACCCTGGTTCATGTCAAGGCCAGCAGCACAGGGATGGGCAGGGCACCCGCACACAGGCGCCTGGCTGCCATACTCTGCAGCTCCAGGGCCTTTATTTTCATCACCAGAATCGATGGGGACCCATCAGGGACAACATCTCCAGGAGGGCAAATCAAGGCACTCATCCACCACCAGCGCAGGGCCCATGAGGCCGGTCCTCCCAGCCCTCCAGCCAGCAGTCCTATGCAGAGGGTAAGAGTCATGGGCCAGGGCCACTGACCCTCCCATCCTCTTGGCCTCCTGGTCCTGCAGCCCCTTCTTCTCAGGCACCGCATGTGTCCTTGAGGGAACAGGAGGTGGCTGGTGCCTTCTGCCCCGCTCCAGCCACAGGAGGTGCTCACGGTCAGCCTGTGGTCGCTCCTCTGTGAGAGTGCAAATCTATGGGGGCCTCCAGGAGGAGCAGAGCAGACCAAGGCAGACAGCACTGTGATGAGGGGCTGGCTCTGCCTCATCTCCAGCTGCCCCAGGTCCCTGCCACTGGAGTGCAGTGCACAAGGCAGCCTTCGGGGCCCCAGGGCACCACGCCCCATTTCCCAGGGACTCAGTGGGTCTCCTATCTGCCATGAGCTCTGCAGGGCACGTTCTCCCTCTCTGCTTCCTTTCCAAATCCCACCTGGGCCATGCAGGGCACCATCCGGCTCCCAAGCCCCCCTGAAAAGACCCATGCTACACCCAGCAGGGCCGGAGCTGCACTCAGCAGGGGTGACTGTGGGGCCTGGGGTCTCCTGAGCCTGATACAGGAGACCCATGCACGCCTGACTGTCCCGAGGTACGGCCAGTGAGGGCAGTGGCACGGATGCTGCCCTGGGAAGGTGGGAGAGGACACCGGTGCCAACTGCTACCCACTGCTGCATGGTCAGGGCGGTGGCACTGTCAGTCTCCTGACACCCACCACTCTGAGGGACGGTGCTGGCTCTTCCAAGATAACTTGAATTGGCCTCTGGCCTCTGTCCCAGCATCTGGCAGGAGAGGGACACAGGTATCGGTCCAGAGCCCTGGCCAGTGAGGGTTTCCATGTGCACCTGGTCATGGCGCCAGTGAGAGTGAGATCATCCAAGGTCACTCCTCGCCCTGTGTGGCACCAGAGGCAGAAGGCAGGCAGGGAGCAGAGGCTTGGGCACAGGGGCGACCCTTCCCCCTACACCAGGAAGGCCACTCGGTCAGCAGAGGCCAGGAGTTGGGATGTCGCTTGCCCCTGGGCTCCTGCCATCCCCCACCAGCCCATAACCTCATCCTGGCCCCACACTCCCCCAGCTCCTCGACAGAGAAAGGTAAAGGAACTTTTGAGGACAAGCAGCGACCTCCTGGCTGAGCACAAAGGCATGAGCATGGCAGACGAGAGCCTGCAGTGACGCTGGACGTCAGTCACCAATCACCAGGGAGGTGTGAGTCACACAGATACCACCACTCCAGCACATGGCTGGAGGTGGCCACCGTCTCCAGTCTCGGAATGCAGGGCCAGCACATCTGTCCCTGCAGGTGGGACACAGAGCGCACACAGCCCCTCCACAACAGGGCAGGCTCAAACACCTGGCAGCACCCCAGCAGGTGTGTGCCCAAGCGAATAACCCTGTGTGCGCATGGAAAGCCTGCACACGTGGGCACAGCGCCACCACCCGTGAGTGACAGTCTGATGTAGAAAGCAGTCAGATGCCCTCTGGGTTAGGGTCAGGCTCAGGGCGGAGGCACCCGGCCACCTCGGACACTAGGACAGGGGATGAGCCCCAGTGACACCTCCTGGAGAGGCCGGTGTGACAACACCCAGCAGGGACACTGTGCCATGCGGGTGGGGGCATGGCCCCTGAAGGCTAGGGCCAGGCTGCGGGCTCCGTGGAATGTCTGCCCCGAGAGGGAGCCCTCCCATCTCTCCTGACCTGTATGAGGAGGGGGCAGATGGCAGGGCCCGAGATGGTACATAGGGGGTTTGAGGACAGTGGGGAAGAGGCCGGCATGGCCATGCTTACCTGGCAGGCGAGGCCCGGCCAGGGGGCTGGACAGGGCCATGCCGACCTCGGTCATGCCATAGCGCTCCAGCAGCGTGTGGCTAGTGGCTCTCTTCCACCTCTCCAGCAGGGGCACAGGCAGGGCGGCTGAGCCAGACACCATGAGCCTGGGGACAGAGACAGGGTCAGCCTCTGGCCCAGGCCCTGCAATGCTCAGACCTCATGCTTCTGGCCCAGGATGAAAAATGGTCCAAGGCAGCTCTGCTTTGGGGAGGAGCTGGTGTATTTCAGAATGTGGACGGGTTAGGATGAAACAGTCGTTGGGGTCTTTGGTGGTGTCTTGGCAAATACCTAGCATGCGTTCCTGAACAGCAGTAGCAGGGTGACAGAGGCAATGGGGACCCAGGATAAAAGGTCCCAAGGAGGTGCTGGTGACAGCTGGGCTGGCAGGAGAAGGATGAGATGACCCACAGCACCTCCAGCACCTCTTGGGCAGGGGGCTGTGTTTCCCTGGGGAACCACGTAAGGTGCCCCCACTCTGAGGGGGGCAGGCCTGTGGCTCAGACAGCACCCAACTGATCGTGTCACCTATGGATGCCTGGCCTGGGACCCGGGCATGGTGGGGGGAGGAGGGAGGAGGGGGCAGATGGCAGGGCCGAGATGGTGGGAGGAGCCCACGGCTGCCCCCAGGAGTGAGGCCTCCGGCCCACAAACATTCTCACGGGCAGCAGCCAGCAAAGCAATGCCTCGGTGTCCCAGGTTGGTGTAGCCAGCAGATCCTACAGGGACAGAGGTGCCGCCTGCAGCTTCCCAAGACCTTGCCTGGCCAGGGGCAGGTGGGAGTCACACCTGGAATTCTATCCTGGCTTTTAGGTCCCGGGGACGGAATCCAGGGCCTCGCACATGCTAGGCAAGTGCTCTACCACTGAGCTCTGTTCCCAGTCCCTTTCCAGTGTTATTTTGACGCAGAGTCTTAAGCTGCCTGGGCTGGCCCTGAGCTTTCAATCCTCCTGACCAGAAGGGAGTGCAGGTGCTGGCACTGTGCCCATGCCACCCCCTGACAGCCCTGACCACTCACGTGTGCCACGGCGCCTCCCCTCTACATGCTCATGGTGCCTGTGGGCCATCTGCCACACAACCAAAAAGGCCATCCCCTGCCCACGGGGCATGGAGCGACCTCATGCTGGGAGTGACTCAGCTCCAATGAGAGGAAGGCGGCTGCTGGGCCTCGGCTGGTGCCCCAGGCAGGGAGGCTTGGGTGGCCATAGCCGAGGGAGAGAGTGAGACCTGGGCAAGGGGGTCACCCCGCCCTCACCTTCGTCATCTGCATGACACAACACGGAGCAGGGACAGAGACTCAGGGATAGAGGAGCAGATGCAGGTGGGGAGAAGGAGGGGCTCGCGGGCATAGGGACCAGGGCCAGCACCCTCAGACAGCACTGCGGCCTTGTCAGGAGCGAGCCACACTTGCTTGCCACTGCGAGGCCTCTGGCGTGGTGGCATGGGCTCGTCTGTGGTACCTGATCTTTTCTTCACAAATTGCACGCACGAAGTCCCGGACGTGAGGCTGGGTGAAGTGCTGGTCATAGTAATCCAGCAGTTTGGAGTATATGGTGGGTACCGCCATAAACACGTTAACTCGGGGAGTCTCCAGGCTCAGGAACTTTTCCCAGACCTAGGAAGAGGGAAGGGAGCTGGGTGAGGAGCTGAGGTGGCAGACACGGGGGGTGCCCAGTGCATGCTCTGGACGGCCCTCCCCACAGGCCCTCCCCATAGTCACAGGCCATGGTCACGGAGGCCAGCCCGCACGGGGACACTGGTGTTTGGCTGGGGAGACAGACAACACGATGAGCTGAGCCAGGCCCGGGGCTCCACGTCTCTGCCAGAGCAAGGGTGGCCCATGCCGTCCTCCACCTCCACAGGAAAGGCCTGGAGATGCAACTCAGGGAGACAGGCAGCAGTCCTGGGGCTGCTGCAAGCTGAGCCTGAGTGGCTCAGACAAAGCTGGGCTCCTGCTCATCAATGCACCCACAGGAGCACTAACCTCCCACACCTGCATGTCATGCAAAGACCCTTGAATTACACTCGGGTAGCTTGCATCTTGTTACCCAGGACACTGAAGACTGGAGGGCCCAGCCTGAGCCCTCTCGCCTGCCTGCCCCGTGGTGACTCCACTGCCCTGCTGCCCCGGGGAAGGCTGGCAGCTCTGGGATGCAACTGTGTTCCCCACGCCTAACCCCAAGCATGCGAGGAGACAGAGGCATGATCCACAATCAGGGGATGCAGCCCCGACAGAGCCCCGGCCACTGCAGGAGCCAGGAAGACCAGACAAGGCTCCTGGGACAGGGTAGGGTGAGGGAGCCCAGTGCCGCGGTGAGCAGCAGAGGGGAGGAGGGCGGCCTGGGAGGAGCTGTAGGAGCCCAGGAAAAGCCATCCTGAAACCAGGAGGTCTACTGCCTAAGCTGGGACAGCCCTGAGCTGGGACAGGCTGGCCAGACAGTGACAGATGCAGGCAAAGGCAGGAACTCCCACGGCGTGGATCTGCACGACACCAGGAAACTGCCTAACGGCTGTCACAGTAGCCACCAGGGACAGATACACACGACTGAAACACCAGGGAAGCCAAGAGGAGGACCTTCCCGGCCTGAGGGACCAGGCCATGGAGACAGGTTAGCCAGCCTTCAGGCTGCTGCACACAACAGCAAACCATCTCAGAGAGGGCTGGAGACTCACGTGTCGGTGATAAAGCCACAACACTTCTAGGCAAAGACTAAGAAAACCCTCAAGACCTTTGCTTTTGGAAAGAATCTGGGATGTGACACCAAAAACATAAAATGAGATTAAAAGTTGGTAAAATAGATGTTATCAAAACTAAGTACACGTGCTTCAAAGACATCATTAAGAAAATGCGATCCCAGCACTCAGGAGGCTGAGGCAGGAGGATCATTACAAGTTCTAGACCAACACGGGGCTACAAAGTGAGCCCAAGGCCAGTCCGAACTGCATAATGAGACTCTGTCTCAAAAAAAAGATAAAAGAAATGAAAAAAAGAAAACGCAAAAACCAGGCATGGTAGCTCACACCTGCAGTGATCCCAGCACTCTAGAGGCTGAGGCAGGAGGATCACAGGTCAAGCCCAGCCCCGGCATCTTAACAAGACCTTGTCTTGAGGATGCAGCTTGGTGTGAAGGGCCTGGGAGTCTCAGTACCACAGAACAGAACAAAAAAAAAGGAAAGGGAAAGACAAGCAGTGTGAAATGCTCCACACAGAAACAACAACCACATGAGGCCACGGAGGCCGGGCCACTGCCTCACTCTCCCACAGTCTCACGGCAGAGGAGCAAACTACCCCACTGCGAAGAGGAGGGCTGGATTCTACCCCTGAGCTGGGGCCAAAGCAGCTCACTGCAGGACGCCTGCTGTGCTTGCTGTGCCTGCTGTGCCTGCTGTGTCCTGAGGTGGAGGAGGAGGAGGGAGCAGGGCGGGCCCTGAGGGAGGGCGCTCCAGCCCTCCCAGTCGCTGTTCTGCCCACCACGTGGCCTTGGTCTTCACCCCTGTGCCGTCCTGTCCTCCAGGCCCAGAGCCCTTGTCCACCTGCACCCCAGGTCCTCTGCAGCCTCCACCCACGTCAGCCTCCTTTGTGCGCATGAGGAACGGACCCTGGCCCTGGCCTTGGGGCTCAGTGGCATCTGGCAGGATAGAGTAGCCGGTGAGGACCTCCAGGTGCTGCCTTCCTGTGGGTCCTCTAGGGGCTTCTTTCCTGGGGAATTGGCCTGCAGCCCCACCCAAGTGTCTGGCCCTGCTCTGGAGCCCTTGATGGGGAGGACCTGCTGTGGTCTTGTGGGAGGTAGCCCCGAGTCTGCTATGGGCAGGATGGGGCCAGAGCCAGCAGGTGCTCCCTCAGGCCCACCCCTCCCAGTGCCTGCCCTGAGCCCGAGAGCTGTTGGGTGGGGCTCCCCGCCGGGCTGGTGACACTGTGGGGCCCCTGGTGACCATAGCCCTCTGCCGCCCTTGACTCCTCATGGCTTTTCTGGAAGTCATGTGGTCAGAGCACAAACCCACTCTGGGCTCTGGGGCCAGGGTGGAGCCACCTGCCCAGTGTGGACGGGAGTCTAGGTCCATGGCAGGTTCCGCAGAGCAGTGTGGGCACTGTGCAGGGGCCACCCCACCGCCACCCCAACACGACCAGATGTAAGGGGTCCCCAGGACTCACTTACTTTTCCTGTTCTGGGGTTGAACCCAGGGACCTTGTGCTGACTCCATCCCACACCCTCTCCGTTTATTTCGAGACAGGAACCCACCAGGTTGTCCAGCTGGGCCTGCATTTGTGATCCTACACCTCAGCCTGTCAGGCACAGGATTCCAGGTCTGTGCCATGAGGCCTGGCCAGATTCACTTGTAAGCCTTGTGCATTCGTAAGGTGAGGCAGAGTCATCAGGGGAGCTGCAGCCCCAAAAGGCATCTGCTGCCCTGTGCCCTGCCAGAGGAGCACCCTCGTCAGGCCAGCTCGGCTCGACCTCTCCCTGCCCACTTGGCCTTCAAGCCGACACAGACAGGCGGCTGAGGAGTGGCCAGGCTGAAGGTAGAGCCCTACAGCTCTTCGATGTCATGGTCGTCCCCACGACAGAAAGGCTGCAGGTCCCAAGGTGTCACTCGCCCTGTCACATCTGGACACGGCACATCCTTCCTGTGCAGAGTGGGCCCCAGGCTGGCTGCCCCCAGTGTCACCCAGCCTGGCCCTGCACCCAGGGGCCCTGGGGCAGGCAGCTTCCAAAATGCTGAAGGGGCAAGTGACGAGACTAAGGTGTCCCCCCAGTTGGACTGTCCACCCCAGAGGGATAGAGAACAGGCTGGCTGCTGACAAGGACCACAATGTTCACATCCTCTTCCTCTAGTGGGGAAAACGATGCTGTGGGTGGGTGGAGATGGGGGTCTCCCCAAACCCCTGGCAGTCCCCTGCAGGAGAGTAGGGTGGGGCTGACCCTGGAGCAGAAGCTGAATCACCACGGAAGCAGTGTGAGAAAGGTGTTTGGGGCCCCTTGTGGGCAGCTCCAGGGTTGAGCTTGGCCAGGCGAGACCCTTGGGGCCGCGCCCATCCCACTGCTACGTGGGATCCAGTAGACTTCTCTGGACTCCAGACCCTGGGAGATGGGTGCCAGACCCGCGTCAGCCCCGTCCTGCTCACCTGCTGTGCACTGAACTCAGGCAGCATCATGCAGGTGGCTCCTACCCAGAGCGGGCACAGCAGCTTGTTGACCACGCCGTGCATGTGGTGCAGTGGGAGGACGTGCAGAATCACGTCGTCTCTCGTCCACGCCCATGCGTGTACCAGCCCGGTCACCTGCAGGGACAGGACACAGCATGAGGACAATGCAGGGTTCAGAGGGGCCTGAGAGGCACTGGAGGAGGACAGCAGGGCAGGGAAGGGGTCGCTGCACTGGGGAAACTTGGTGGCTGAGCAGCTCTGTGCTGAACACCCCAGACCCCAGTGCAGAGCACACTGTTCTGGGGCACCACTGGGCAGCCCGTCTCCATACACCATGCTCCACTGTCCTGTCCCCACCACCCTCCCCTACCACATATTCAGCCCGGACCCTGCAGAAATGAAAGGAAAGGAAAGGAAAGGCACTGGCCATGTGGGGAGGCCCCACTGCCTCGGATGGAGGGGCTGAGCCTGGGGAGCGGCCAGGCCGCACTCACCATGGCTGTAAGGTTGCGGTGGGTGCTCAGCACACCCTTGGGCCGCCCTGTGGTCCCGCTGGTGTAGATGATCATGGCGCCCCGGTCTTGCCACTTGCGCTCCTGCACTGGCGCCACCGCTGCTGGCTCCCCCGCGGCCCCTTGGTAGACGGTGGGAGGGAGGGACAGGAGCGGCACCCCCAGCCTCTCGGCCACTGGGCCCACCAGCTGCACGTGCTCTGGCCCCGCCAGCACCACAGAGCTGCGGGAGTCCTCGATGAAGTACTCCAGCTGTGCCGGGGGGTGCTTAGGGAAGAGGGGGACCGCGATGCCGCCGCTCATCCACGAGGCCCACTGGGCGACCACATAGGAGACATCGTTGGAGCACAGGAAGGAGACCCTCTCGTCCTGCAGGTCTCCATCCACACAGCCGCGGAGGCGGAGGATCTCCTGAGACAGGTGCAGACTTCGGAGGTACAGGTCCCGGTAGGTATGGCAGCCGTGCTGGTCAATGAGGGCGACCCTGTCCCCGAAGCCCGGGGCCTGGGTGAACACAGGGGCGGCTGCCCCTGAGCGGGCAGTGGTGGCCGTGTGCAGGAGGCCGTGTCCTCGGTGCCTCCTAGGTGCTGGACGGCAGGAGGCCATGGTGCAGGCCAGGCGCCGGAAGGCCACCGTCCCTCGGGGCAGCATGGCACCGACAAGCATCCTGCTGGAGTCCCTGTGCGGCTGTGAAGGGGCACAGTATGTTAGTGCTGCCACCACCCTGAGAGCAGGAGCTCTCTGCAGATCCCCAGCCCGCAGGCCCCGCTCGGAGTGAGCTCCGCACCGCAGGGATTCACATGTCCAAAGTCTCAGCTCCACGTTTAAACTCTTTGGTTTACAATTTTCGAAAACATCCAAGCCCCTGGCACAGTGGAAGTCACTCAGCTAAACCAACGGGAAGCAAAGAAACCTCAGCACCTTTGAGAGTGAGTTCTCAGAGTAGGGTTAAAAACCCAGGCTGGGACTTCAGTCAGAGGTGTGGCGACACGGGAGCTCACAGGCCACGCCTAGAGCCACCACAACCACTGCCACCAAATGCAGATGGTGCCAGCTTTTAACTAATCCTGTTTGCAGTGCAGGAACAGAAGCCAGGGCTCCACATGGGCCAGGCAAGGGCTCTGCATGCGGCAGCTGCTGCATCGCGGGGAGTGCTCGTCCCACTGCCCCACACAAGGCCCGACCACTGCCGAAAGCAGCTGGTAGCAAGCACTCATGGGAGGGCTGGAGCTGCTATCCCTACTCCCCCTCAAATGGGGATCCCTGTCTGTTCCCTCTGAGCAGCCACCAGGCTGGACACCCACTCTGCACGGAGAGCAGCTGACCATGCGGGGCGGGACACATGATCCTAGACTCTCCACCATGGGCTGAACACAGTGGGAAGACTGACCTGGCCCGTGGGGGCACCAGGCCCAGCCAGGACTGGGACCCAGATGCCACTGAGTGCCCAGGACTGCGTGCTGTGGCCCCAGGCTGCATGTGGGCGGAGCCGTGCATTTTGTCCATCCTTGCAATCCCTGGGTGACTGTGGTGGCTGCTGCCTTTGGGTGCCTGAGCTGGGCCTGGGGGGTCCACGTCCCATGTCCTGCACTCCTGGCCATCTCCCTGTACTGGCTCTTGGTGAGTGGCTGGGGACCTGGGCGCGTCCCTGCCTTCCATGTGCGCTGAGCAGCTCGCTCCCGACTGGGAACACATATCCTAGGAACCCACTACCTAGGAAAACACACTCCCCAGAGAAGTGGGGGACCGGCACACTCTGCGTTCCAGCTCTCAGGCTGCGTCCCCGGGGAGGCTGGTCTCTCCTGCCCCAGGAACTCGCTCAGGAGTGGGAGCCTCTTGCCAGGGCTAGAGGAGCCCATGCTGGCTTCTGCCCTGCTCAGTGGCCCTTGAGTACCCCAGCCACAGACAGCCTGGAAAAAGGAACTGCTCGACCCCGGCAGGGTTCCCGAGCTCCTCTGTGCTGCAGCCGCACATACCTGGCCTCAGCTCTGCCTGGACGGAAGTGCAAAGCCTGGAGGAAGCGTGAGGTCCTCCAGGCCGGGTGATCTCAGGACGCAGTGTCCCCAGCTGCTTTAGGGGGCAAGAGATTCCCAAGCCAGACCCCCAGGGCGAGCTGCCCTCCGGCCACCTTCAGCACGGAAGGACCACATCTGTTCCACGCAGACAGAACGTGTGGAGGACGGCTGAGCGTCCATAGGGGCCAGCCTGGGGTGGCTGCCCTTCCCTGCCTGCTTCTCCTGCCTGCGCTTCCCTCTGCCTCTCTCAAGGTGGACAGGCCCCACCAAAGCGACTCCCTCAGAATGACAGCTGCTTCAAACGGAGCCTCTAAGGAGCAGGACCGACCTAGTGATCAGCCCCACACCTGGCCCGCAGCCCTGCAGACCTGGATCTTCCTGTCAGTGGCCTGGATGGGCCAGGGGGATAGACACTGCTCCTGGCTCATGAAGTTGTTTTTAAAATTGCACTTGTCAGGAGCAGAGGTCCTGTTGCATTCACGAGCAGGACATTCAAATTACAAAACCCAGAGGGAAAAACACAGGCTTGATCCACACACCCATTCCAGGGAGTGAAGGGAGGTTACAAATGCCACCAGGAAGCTCCCTGTGCTGGGAAGAGGAGGGACAGGGACAGGGACAGGGACAGGGACAGGGCGGGGTGGGGGGAGCACTTGCACAGCTCCCGGTGCAGGCTGGACTCGGTGCAGGCCGGACTCGGCCTCTTTTCACTGAGGCCTTTGGTTGCATGCCTGGTCCTGAGCACTCTCCTCCCCTTCTGCAAACTCCTAGCCCTTTGTGTAGCCTGCAGCCCTGCTCCCGTGGCCCCAGTGCCCAGGCTGGTGCTGAGCTGCTGACAGACCAAGACACAAGTTCGATCTGCATCAGCAGCACAGTAGCCCCAGCACCCTGACCTGACGTTCGACCTCCCCCCCCCCGCCCCCGCACTCACCTTCCTTGCCTGTAGGGTCACACGGGGGTCACAGCGGAGATCCCCGATGCCGGGCAGGCCTGGCAGGAACTGTGTCCGGCAGCCAACACCGTCCCCCAAAGCAACGAGTCCGTCACTTCATTGTGTCCCCCAGGCGTGGTGCCCTGGCAGCAAGTTCCAGGCACAAGTGTTCCGGCCTATCCAGTTTCACAACCTGGTGTCACCTCAGGTCCCGTGTGCAGCTGTCACCGGGCCCTGCTGTCCTCCACAGGGCCCAGGGCAGCTTGTGGAGTGTCCAACTAAAGCGGCAGTCCGGGGCCATGAGGGCCTGTGCCTGTCACGTGCCTAGCATCCCGCTCACCCTGCAGCCTGGACACGTGGGTGCCTGCCCCGAGGCCGGGTGCTGTGCCCGCCAGCACCAACAGGAAGGAAAGCCACTGCCGTTGCTCCTGCCAGGGCAGGCCCTAGATGGAGAGAGCTTTGCACCGTGGGTGTGCACGCTGGCCTGCCGGGACCCTGTGTGTGCAGAGGTGCTGCCCTGGGAGGCCTCCCCTGTCCCAGAGCTTCGTCACGCCCACCCTCTCCCTGGTCCCCTTTCTGCACTGCCGGGCAGGAGATACCACGTTTGGAATCACAATCAACATCAACCTTTGTTTCTGGTGTTGCAGTGGGGACTCAGCCCCCTCACAGGCCAGAGACTGCACTGCCACCCCCACACCCATGGCCGCAGAGTCCCACTGGGCTGTCAGGGCATGACCCCTCCTGGGCTCTAGGGCAGAGCCCAGGAAGGGAACAGGACAGGGGTCAGAGAGCGTGGCCGTGCTGGGGTCCCGGTACAAAGCCCATGGTCTGTCTTTGAGGAGCTGGCAGAGCTTCAGGGTTTCACTTGAAAAGGGAACAAAGGCAGGAGTCGGGGTCCACACAGCAGCCCTGTGTCTGGCGCTTGCTCCTTGAGGCTCTGGGGAGCCAACAGCACCAGGGGCAGCTGGAGAGAGAAGATGGCTTGGGGCAGTCTCGGCCCCTGTCCTGGGGAGCTGCTCTGTGGTCTGCGTGGCTCTGCTCTTCCTGGGTCTGAGGCGACCACAGTTTTAGGACGATGATGATAGGAAATGTCCAGGTGACCCCTCAGGGGTCTTGTAAAGGCTGGTGCTGGCTGGCCCTGCAAACCCAGCATGACAGTGACAGCCCTTGGTCCTGCTACAGCCATCCCCACCCCACCTCCAGCCTGGCAAGAGGACCCAGCCTGGCTGAGCTGCTCCAGACGCCTGGAGCCCATGGGAGGTGATGGTGCTGCCGGGAGCCATGAAGCTTCGGGGGACCAGAACCCCACTGTTGCCAGGAGAGGCCTGTTGCTTCCCCTTGCTGAGCTGCACCCCCACCAAGGACAGAGCTCCCTGTGGGCCCTGCATCCTGCAGCTGCTCTGTGCAGGGTGTTCTAGCAGGGGAGAAAGCACCAAGCCCTGGCTGAATGCTGGCCAGAAAGAAAGCAGAGTCACAGGTGCCAATGCTGGCAGGAACATGGTGCAACGTCATGAGAGGCTCGTCTGCACCTGGGCATGGCTGTGCAGTGCTGGGCAGACGCTGCTCCTGGACTGGCGTTTGGATCCTGGTAGGATCAGATACTAGGGAGGATGACAGGCACCAAGGAGGCCCCCACTGGGTCACCTTCCTCCTGCAGAGCCTTGTCTTAGCTTGACCACATCTGTGCAGACTGTTTCTAAGGGACATTGCATTGGGGCTTTCAGGGATATGAATTTGTGGGGACGCTCACCCCAGCCCTGTGGAGCCCGACATGGGAAGACTCAGCCCCAGATGCTTGGATTCGGGTAAGGAAGGGGCTGGGCCAGCTGCTCTGCCTCGGACCCTCCAGAGCCCTGCAGAGGACATCGTCCCACTTCTGCAGCTCTCCTGGACACCAGCTCACCAAGCCATCTCCCCAGGGCATCCTTCCTTATTAACACACTAATTTAAATTACTAGAGAAAAAACACAAAAGTCATTTTACCTCCAAATAAAAAAGGAACCTGTTCACCTTGGGAGAGGTGTCTATGCTGTTTCTACAACCACAGGTGGCTTTGGTAACAATTTGTTGTAACTCACCACGGGGTCTCAGGACCTTGCCCAGGCCTGTAAACATCCATTGTCCTCTTCCTCCTTCTCCTCCTCCTCTCTCACCTGGTCTCACCTGCTTCCTCAGCCAGCTCTCCCTGCCTCTTGTCCTGAAAGGGAGAGCAGAGAGGCTCAGGGCATCAGGCTCCCCCGCCGGCTCTGAGCAGGGCTTGGTGGGGTCCCGGGGCACACCTGTCAGCCACTGTCACACATGGGTGTCAGGGCTCTACCCTGGCCGGCCAGGCACCACACACGCTGGGTACGGGCCCAGGGTCCAGGCTGGGTAGCAGGTGGGACCGTCCCTGTGGCCAGGCCTGCTTTGCCCTGCACTGCCCCATCTACCTCCTGCCCTCCCTCCCTGTGATTGCTCCTCCATGCAGCAACTTTATGAAATGCTCTCTGGAGCCCACTTGCTGTGCATGGGGCATCTGGGTCTTGTCCACATCGCAGCTGAGCCGTCTCTATCCCTGGCCCAGGGCACCTTGGGCAGGCTTGGTGCCAGGCTGCACACCATGGACACAGAGCTCTGGTTCCCTCTCTGGGACCTGCTGGGCCCTTGTGTGCCTCGGCCCCTTCCTGTCCTGGGGCCCCCTCCACTGCAGAGCGGAGCTGAGGAGTTCCTGAACTCAAGAGAGCACAGAGGACCCCAGCCGCCCAGCACCCTCCCAGCCACTGACTGCGAGACTGGAGTGCAGGACGATGTGGCCTGGGGGCTCTCAGGAGGCAAGGACATGTAGAGAGGAGGACAGACCACGGGGGACGCTCACTGGCTGATGGCATGCGGGCCGAGGTCCAGAGCCCCCAAGAGGGGCCGGCATCGCCCTCGTTCTACAGTGGAGCTGATGTTTGGCCGAGCACCCCGAGGGGTGGAGGGTGGAGGTAGGCAGGGACCTGGCCTGCTGTCTGTCTCTCCTGTCTCCCACCAGGCCCCTGGAGGAGAGGAGTTGGCCGGATGGGTGGGTCTCACGGTGATGCTGCCACCAGCTTGCGGCTTAGCTGTCAGGGTGAGTAGGTTGGCCTCTCTGCTCTCCTCTCGGCTGCACCCTGGCCAGTGGAAGTGACAGGAGCTCCAGGGAAGCCCAGCTGCCTGCCACAGCTGCGGGAACGGCCAGGGTGCAGCTGCGAGCTGCAGGTGCTCCAGAAGGTGGTGCTGGACTCTGCTGTGGGGAGGGACCTGGCTGCTGGGTGAGTGACTGTGTTTGCAGCCACTGTGTTGTCCAGAGAGAGAAACTGAGGCAGGGTGAGTGGCATCATTGGATCCTGGCTTTGGACCCCAAAGCTAGAAATCTTCGTGCTCTGCAGCAGCAGGAGCAGAAGCTGCCTCACCTGGGACACCAGGACAGGTGGTAACTGGTCCACGCGCTGAAAGGGCTCCTCTCCTGCCAGCCGGTGTGAGGGAGCTGTCTGCTGCCTGGGGCCAGCTGGGAGGCAGCGTAGGGCCCGGGGGAGAGAACCGAGCTGGCAGGACAGTCTCTGCTGCCGTCGGAGCTCAGGTGTCAGGACAGGCCCAGCCCTCCCCTGCACCTTCAGGGCTAGCCTAACGCCACTCCTGCACCAGAAAGACTGGGCTGCTGCAGGAAAGGGCTGTGGACAGGAGGCTTCCGAGCAACAGAGTGCATTTCTGTTTAAAGGCAGACGTCCGAGGGTAAGGTGCTGGGGTGTCTGGGCTCTAGTGGGGGTGGGGGCTTCTCAAATGGGGAGTCGGAGGACCTGGGAGCTCTCTGGATCCCCTGGGCAAGGTCTCCAGGCTCTGAGGTCATCACCTATGGAAGGCCCCCCTGCTGACCCCAGGGCAAGGTTGAGGAGGAGTGCAGCACATGTGTTGAAGGAAATAGCACCCACTGAGCTAGTCCTGGATACCCCATCCTCCTAGGGGAGCCTCACCTACCCCTCTGGACTCTGCCCAGAGCCCGGTTCACAACTGGTCTTCCAGAGCAGACACGTGGCCCCCTAGGTGCAGGGGGTTGTCGCAGCTGCAGGTCTGCAGCTCTGAGTCCTCTGAGTCCCTGCAGTCCAGTCTCGAGAAAGTCTCTCTTTGTAGTTTACTCCCCTCATCTGCACCATGGAGCATCATTGGCTTGTTAGAATTAAACATAAACCAATAGATCGTAAGTCATTCTTCCTCATTCCCTAAAATGCCAAAAAATAAAAATTTTAAAAATGCAGTAAAATGTATAAACTACTAAGAACAATGCTTGGAATGGAATAAATGCTGTGTTAGAGATCATCAGCATAACCGTGTCATCACATTGTCACCATCATCACCACCATCGTCACCACCACCACCAGCATCACCCTGGGTGACTTTGGAGATCCACCCACCGGCTGTACTGCCCTGTCCTGTGAGTAGAGGTCACTATCCTCCTTTCCAGATGCCCGTGACACCAAGATTGGCAAACATGTGCCCAGGACCCAAACATGCACACTTCTCTGTGTCATCCCATTGGGTCTTCTCAAAGACCTCGGCAGGTTCGGGTTAGGGTGAAGCATTCCTCTTCCTAACTTACAGATGGGAAACTGAGGGTCAGGAAAGCAGGAATCCTGGTGAGGTCCCAGGCTTGGCGGATGGAGATTGAAAGCACCCCAGATATGACTCAGGCCTGAACCCTGCATCTCTTTTCTGACCTTGTTACGGACCCTGTCCTGGGTGACTCAGTCCCGGTGCACACAGGGCTTTGTCAGGAGAGATGCTTACGGAGCCTCGGGCCTCCCCGGTGCTGCTGGCGGGCTGACCCCTGTGCACATGGAGCAGGGCCTGGGCCGCCAACAGATGCCTCTCAGTCTTTGGTGGTGCCCAGTACTCTGTGCTGGAGTAGCCGGTGATGCCCAGGCAGAGGGATCCCGGCAGTTCTGGGAGGGACAGAGGAGGTGGGATTGCAGGGCCCCTGAAGCTCCGTGTCCAGCTGAGGCCGGGCTTCTCTGGGCAACACGCTGTGCACAGGAGTTGCGTCTGTGGGCAGCACTGGCTCCCGGCCTGAGCCGGATGCCTGCCACATGTCTGCTGGCCCTGCCAGCCAGATGGAGCCCTGCCAGGGATGGAGCCCTGCCAGCAGCATGGACACTGGG